ACCTCTTGGTATCTTCCATTCAGTTGGGGCATTGGCAATTTTTTTAGGGGGTGCAAGATCTCTGGACTGGGTCTTGTTAACGGCACGGTAGAACTAGAAATAGGTTTAAACTTTTGTTCATTGTTGCTGTTTGGCACCACTTCCAAGATGGCACCTACTTCCTTTGTTATTTTACTCTGACAATACTTTCAGGTGCAACTGTATTTAAATTAATGCAATAAAAGGCCAGGATCATTTTTGTGATAATCATCACTTTTGTGACACAAGTCCCTTCACTTTTGTGGCAATCATCACTTCACTTTTGTGACACAAGTCACTGCAGTGCCTACATGGTTTAAAGGAGGAGGTACACCCAGAACGTAGGTCGACTACTAAAAATTTCACCAAAACAACAAAACTATTAAAGTTACAAGTGTCAAATTTTCACTGAAGTTAGAAGAATACCGGTAGTCATTCTACCATAATAACACACATAAAATTACCATTAAAAAGTGCAACATAATAGTTTGTTTACATTGATAAAAAAAAAATGGGATACTGGAAATTGGCATGTAGGACAAAAAAAAAATTAGTTAGAATGTTTCAAGCTCAAATTTATTACCGGTACCGTATAGTACCCGGTACCGTATTCTTTTTTAATAATATAGAAATATGGATTAGCTTTGGCGACAACTAAGAAAAATGTAATTTATTGAATACTTTTTTTATCACAACATCCCAAAGTATGTTAATTTTGACATTTTAAAGTCAAACTTTGATGGACTGTAAAATTTATACAATTTGTGCCTTCGATATCCGCTTAGCCCCCATCATAATAAAATAATTGAAAGTAAACTAACCAAAAGAAAGCTGAAAATCTAAGAGGAGCCTCCAATACTTTGGATCCATCATTGAAAAGAAGGGTTGCTAAGTCAACACCAATGTGGACAGCTCTTAAACCATGATATTTGTTCTTAGGGCACATTTTCAATATAGTACTATTTATCAATTCGTTTGCAAGATTTTGGGTACCGGTAAATATCTGGACATTTACTAAGAATAATTGTATGATAAAGGTCTAAAAAAAATGTGGCCTAATTAAATTAATTTCTACCGGTACTGATTTACTGTTGTGTTATTATAAACATTAAAATTAATTAAATGATTTTCAGATGTCTTAAACTTAATGAAATTAATCTTCACTTTAATCTAAATGAGAATCATTTACTCCATGACCTTATGTCTTTCAATTTAATGTCTGACCTGTTCTGGGTGGGCGTGGCATGTGGTGTTTCAAATTTCAAGACCACTAAACTTGGACTTGGGCATTTTAATTTTAGTCAAGGGTAAGTCATCTTCAACATTCAATGATCAATGGAATGATTTTGTTTTTATCAATTTATTTCCATTTAAAATATCCTCATTGAGTCCAACATTAGGCTTAGTATATCTATTTTCATGAAACTTTCATTTCTTTTAATATTTTTTATCACTAGGCATTGGCATTGTATAAACAAATTATAAATATTATATTAACACAATTTTAAAATTCACAAAAAATGTTTTGTTTAATTCTATGGAAGCCGCCATATTTAAAGGACTGATCATTGTATTTATATTAAACACCTATAGGGGAGGTCAGAGTCATAGTTGTTTTAATATAATTAATTCAGAAATAGTATAAAGAATTTTTTTTTATGTGGTAAATTATGATACACCCACTTCTAATAAAAAAATTCATATCTTAAGAACTATTTAACCTAAATTAAAAATAATTACACATAATTGTGCAGAATTTAATACAATTTGATATCAATGGTTACTGTTAATAAATCGAAAAAATGGCTTTTTTCCATTTTTCTTGGTGTCAACCCCCCCCCCCCTTAATATTAACATTGATAGCCCGCAACCAACTGTAACAATGACTAGTATTTTTTCAGGCCATACAATAACAAGCAGTTTTGTGTATGGATGAGGATGAGTGGAAATTAATGTACGGTATATTATTTTTTTCAGAATTTGTACACTGTACATTGGTAGCTATTTAAACTGGATAAGAAAATATCATTACTTGCTAATCAAAGTACCGGTAGTGTGTCACTAAGGTGTCCTTTCTTCAACTTGATCTTCTGTGAAAATTTTACTGTTTGTCAAACTAGAATGTAAATTTATAATATTTGTCAAACTTAAGTGTATGCAATAGTATAAGGAAGGTGCATTGTGCAAGCAATTTAAATGTGGAGGTGTCATCATAATTTAAGTTTTTTAAATTCATTTTTTTCATATCTTACCTCAGCCATGTTTTTTATTATAGTTATTTTTGCATATACATTATTTAAAAAATATATAAAATAATTAAATTTTAATGTTTTTATTTTTTATCTCTTATATCAGTGTCCTGCGAACGTTCTTAGCCATTATCCCAAAATATATACTTTTCGCCAACCAGTATTTTACGATACTGGTACTTTTAATTTGTGTACTTTATGATGTGAAAAAATTTTTAATTAACAAAACTGGTACGGTACTTTTCAGTCAAAGCCCAATTATTATTAGTGCCTGATTAAATAAGTAGAGAGCCTAGGCCTGCAAAGGGCCTCGGGCGATGAAGGATCCCAAAGTTTGGTGTGTAAAAGATTTTTTTAAATGATCGATTAATAACTTTGAATGCAGGGGGCCCAATATTCTTAAGTTCTAGGGGGCCCCCAGAAGTCACCATTTTACAATTAAGTCAACAATTTTAATTTTACTAGGGCTGTGGGTGATTAGAATTGTTTTAAATTTTAAAATTTTATTTTATGTCAAAATTTTGTGCTTTTTGAAATGGCATTTTTTCCTACTAGGTCCAAAGAGTATATTTTATTTATTTTACCTCTTTCTTGTACATCAGGGTTTAAGCTTAACATCAATGTATTATTCCAAGTTTCCGGTACCGGTCAATGTATTATTCCAACTTTTTAAACTATCTCCATGTGTGATTCCCCTTGTACTGGTAACCAAAGTGTAAGGTGACCAGTTTTTCTTCAGTCTTCAAATATAACACCAGTATTATTAAATGTTAAACCAGGAAATTTAAAATCATTTCGTGGCCATGTGTGTTAAAATAAAAAATAAATAATTAAAATTAAATGTGGATATCCGATCGCTAATGATTCATCTGTGCGTGAGACATTCTTTCAAAGATGCCAATATAGATGAATTATACATTACCTATAAATTTTATTAGTTGTATTCAATTATGTCTGTAATTAGATGAACTCAATCTTTTGATAAATTAAAAATGTATGATTTTGTAGTTGTAGGCTTAAACTGGTCTGGTTACAACTCACGACCACCATGACAAATGTCCAAAACAACTAGCAGCCTAATGGAAAAAACTGTACCTTATTCAAGTGTATATCACCTTACAGTTATTCATGCCATATTCTGAATTCATTTTCAATTGTTTGAATTTGATAAACATTTTATATCTTGCAACGTGATATATTTTTTGCCATAATAACAATTTGTCACTCGATGAATAGCTTGTGTATAATTACCATTTTGACACGTTTGACTAGCTTGTACTTTTAGCTAATGTTTATTTGTTATTTTGTCACCTAGTGTCTAGCTTGTGCATATGGTACCGGTTATTATCATTTTGTCACAAGTGACTATTTTGTTTTTAATAATATTTTCATCTGTTAATAATTACTACGGGTACTGGTATTAAATAATTTGCCATTGTCTATCCCAGGTGTCGGCAACCTTTTGGTACCAGTGTGCTAAAGTATGACTTCTAATTCATCCAGCACTGCCAATAACTTTTAAGTCTATCAAATAAGACGCATTCTTTAAAGTCATACCAGGTATATAATTATCTTTTGGTCTTCCACATGAAAACCAAGTCTGGCATAAAGTAGATTGCCAAACACCCCCCCCCCCCTTCCCAAACACACAGTATTTGTTCAAATTACTGCCCACTTCAGTATTTTTAGCTTTGAACTTGCCATAAAATAAAGATAAAAGGATCAGAATGTTTAACATCTCTTTTGCTTGGTTTTCTTTTAGATGTGATTAATTCACCTCAGTGAAATTCTAAGTTTACGATCAATGATATTATACTTTATTTTAAAAATAATCTTACAAACATTGTTTACTGTATTGTTTTAAAAATTACAACTTCTAATCACAAGCTATTCATTCAAAGTTTTTTTTAAAAAGAATTGAAAGGTTAAAAAAAAATAATAAATGGGAAGTGATATAATTTCAAAGCTGCCTAATTAATTTCTTGTTTAGATCCTTGATTACACCCAGTGTTTAACTAACCATCTTAGGATGGGTAACTCATGGATTGTCGATTACCGGGTACCAGTATTTATAACCGGTATTGGCATACTACGCCTTTTTCATGAGACGATAGTGAAGTTTTTGGACTATTTTTATTTGCTCCAGTAGCCAATCCTGGTGTGGCAGTCTCGGCTGCACTTCTTGCAGGATAACCTTGACATTCTAATTATTTAAATAAATAATTTTTCATGTGACTTGGGGATCAAACATTCATATTTTTTTTTTTCAAAATTACTCTTGTAACAATAAAACATGTACCAGTCATCTAAAAATAAATATTGTATTTTACTGCCATATTTGTGACTTTTTTCTATCATGACAGGGTGTGCATGCTGGGAGATGTCACTAAGTGGGATGTTAAAATATATTAACAATTTTACCCAGAAACCCATCAAAATGTTAAATAAATATTTAACCAGCTGTGGAAATACATAATTACTGTCGGGTACTGTGTAATATACCTGTGTGGCACACTGGGTACTGTGTGATACATCTGTGTGGCACTCTGGGCACTGTATGATATACCTGTGTGACACACTGGGTACCGTACTGTGTGATATACCTGTGTGGCACACCAGGGACTGTGTGATATACCTGGGTGGTAGCCATCAAATATTAATCTTTGAATATACAGGTAGAGGTTATTGCAACACTTTCTTAGTACCAGTACAAATATATCTAGACAATCAGAATTTCTCTTTCATATATTTTATTCACCTTGCATCTAAATCAGACACCATTTGTAATTTCAAAATGTTGTAACACAACGTTAAACAATATTTGTTTATTGATTATTGTCACAGCTTTTAACAATTTTGATTAAGGTACAGTACAGTACCTATACTAGTACATGTTCTGGGTATGGTGCATTATTTGAAATCAACTTTTGATGTTAAGCATTCACTTGGTTTGTGTTACTCACAGACAACTCATCAGTGGCAGAAAAATATACACCATAGAAAATACAGAACTGTACACAGTATATAGATAATAAATATTGCAAGGATATAAATATCAGTTAAAAAAAACTAAAATTTTTTTAAAATATGGATATGGAATGAATGCCTAAACTTAAATGATGTCCTGTGATATTCGATATATCACAAGTGGGACAAGTCATGGTCTCTCAACAAAATAGTCAGTTACAGGTAACAATTTTAAATATATCTATCTTGTCTTTCTTTGGTACAGATGTCAACGAACAAACAGTTTGTGAATACCGGTAGCTAGTCTTAGTATATCTTTGGTCCAATTGTCAACATACCCAGTAACTAAATATCCATGTATAATATACCGTTCCATACTGTACATAAGGGCACAAGTATGGTACTGTACTGGTATATTAGATAGAAAACTGTAAGGTATGGTATATGAGAAAGAAAACATTACAGTACATACTGGTAAATATAAGATAAAGAACAAGTACTGTACGGTACCACTGTCATACAAATAAATTATGGCATTCCAAGACACCCCCCCCCCCCCACGAGAATCCATCAACATTTAAACCCTGAAACTGTGGCAAATAACATTCTGAAGTGGGGGAAAAAAAAAGAAGAAAAACAACATACTGGTAAATATAAGATAAAGAACAAGTACTGTACGGTACCACTGTCATACAAATAAATTATGGCATTCCAAGACACCCCCCCCCCACCATGAGAATCCATCAACATTTTAACCCTTGAACTGTGGCATATATCATTCTGTAGTGTGGGAAAATAAAATGAGTAAAACAGAGTAGGGTTAGACCTGAAAAAATAAACGCAACAAAACAGCGAACATGTCAGCAGAAAGCCTTCTTCAGCGAACAAAACAACAGAAAAAAACGGTATAAAAATAAGAAATAGCACTTAGCTGGTAGGTAGTATCTGTGGGCAGCAATAGAAGTGTGGGAGGTTTTCAGGGCTTTTAGAGTGCCTTTAGAAATAGCATTAAATGGCATAGAAATATTGATACAAGACCCCAATAAGCATATATTTTTAGAAAGGTAAATGGATGGGATAAAGTTGGCTACATTGCCCACCCGTAATAAAATTTTGTTCAGTGTCCTTGACCTTGGAGTGCTGAAGAAAAAAAAATCAACTAAATGTCTTGCTTTTCAAGTGCTCATAACATAATTAATTTTTATAGATTACATTAAAATACCGGTACTCATACAAATGTGGTAGTCAATTCAGGTTTTGATTACAATTAAACCTCTGAAAGGAATTTTAGTAATTTTAGGTCATTTAAATTTAAGAAACTGGGACCACAACTAAAACCAAGTACAACATACAAAATCTCAGGCAAAATAGTTATTAAGGACTAGTAAACATTTAAAAGGGAACTGTGGAACTGATTTGGGTTGTTTAAAAATTATTAGTTCTGATCTTATAATCTGTAGCTTCTGTGACTAAAATTCAGTCAGTCCTTGCCCAACCTCCGGGTCTGGCTCGAAGTCTAACAGTAGGCCTACTTCAGTATCACTAAGAGTACTAAGACTATTATCAGATTCACGAGAAGAAGAATCTGAACTGAGATGTCAAGGAGAATGTTAAAATCATCATCAGTATCACTTAAACCCTTTCCCAAAAAGCTTTCAAAAATATATATATTAGTTCTCGCACTGAAGGCCCAGCCATAGCTTCAGCCATTATAGGTTTTAAAAAACAGCGATATAAAATCTGATTAAAAAGTACTTAAATTGTTAAGTTATCAAGAAACAGTGTGACCCGGAAGTTGATTTAATTATGAATAAAAGGAAGTGGCTATGATTCCAGTTAAATATTGGATTAAAAGTTTCTATCGGACCATGTTTTTTATCGGCCGATTTTTTTGGCCGCCACAGTACAGAACAAGAATATTGGCCGATTTTTTCGGCCAACCACAGTTCGAGGGTTAATAAACTACTCCATCAATTCACTCATGGACAAGAGTTGTACAAGAAAAGTAGTAGGTACCGGTACCATCCTGTACCCATGGTAAGAGCATTCCAGACATGCATTACAAGAATTTAATTTTTGTAAAAAATTTACTTTCTATAAATTCAGCATAAAAATATACAATTACATTAAACAAAATATCATGTCAGGTAATATTTGTAAGATGTGAAAACAGTAATGAACAAATTTTCTAAGAGTGCCTGGGTACTGTGTATTAGACATATTTTTCAAAATGGTAAAAAATATTGGACCACATGTAAAAATGGTTTATAGCTGAATACACTGAATCCCATAAGATTACAATCATCACAAAGATTTAATGAATTTTTTTGCAAATTTCTTATAAAAATCTCTTCAAGTTAAAACCTTTAGTTTGACATTTTTGATTGACTGATGTCAATAACTTATTGTATAAATATAAATAATAATACAAGATGAACTTCAGTCTTCTAAGTACAATGATGTACTCTAAGTACTTCTAAGTACTCTCCACACTTCTATAGTACCGGGTACCGTATTATGCTGATGCTCTTACTTACACACTATACCGGTATAACATTTGATGACTACAAAAACCAGGCAACATTCTCAAGAACATTTAGCATTGTCTAAACAAGAATATTTAGCAAATGTCAAACCAAGAGTATTTAGCAATGTCAAACCGAGAATATTTAGCAATATCAAACCAAGAATATTTAGCAGTGTCAAACCAAGAATATTTAGTCATTTTAAACAAGGCAACATATAGTTCATATATTATATTTAAATTTAATTGTCATTAAAAAAATTGTTACAAAAATTAAAATTCTATTTTTAAAAATAGTTATATTGAAAATAATAAGCTGTTGGCAAGATCTGCCTTTGTATAATATTGTATTTGCACTTTTATTTCTGGGACTTGAGTAATTGGGTAATGTCTTGATACATATCTGTGATCTCACACCGCACAACATTGTCTCACTGAGCTGCAGACAGCTGCTGTAGCAGTGAAGGGCTCTTTGATCTAAGTCATTCTATTAAAATACAATTATATTTTATTCTAATCATGTTTTATATTCATACAGGCCATGGATAGAAATTTAGCAGTTACAGTAGCTGGAATAATTCCGGATAATGTCAAGAGAAAAAAGTTATAATTTTAAAAATATAATTTTCATTTGATGTAATCTTTGGCACTAATAATCTATAATACAACAGTATAGTTGAAAGTTGAAACCAAGTACCCGTACTTGCCTATTCTTTGTGTTTCTTATGTAAAAATGTTTTCTCTAGTCCAATCATAGGAGACTCAAAGGCTAACATCAGAACAAATGATATAAGATAGGTACACAGCAATAGACCACAGAATGTTATCACCTGAAAGAAAAAGCAGCATTTTATTATTATTTGATAAAAAACAATTTAGTGTGTCAGGGTTTTAACCAAAAATATATTTTTTTATCAAGTGTGAAAGTGAAAGGCTGACTTGTAATTGCTCTCATGAGTGTACAGCTTTTATAAGCCATGTTAACCAGTAAACTTACAATACTACTGTCTATGTTGACCAGTAAACTTACAATACTACTGTCTGACAGGTAGTAGAGCTGTTCCAGATTCTGGTAATAGACGTAGATAAGGCAAGGGTGGATCAAGTAGGCCATATAGGTCAGACGACCCAGTGTCACAAATGGGGACCAGGATAGGAGAGTGTTGACGGGACCTGAAATAGAGACTTTTCTTTGTTTGGGTCATGGAAAATATTCATGTATACATTGTCTCTTATATATATTTTGCTTGTGGTGTGGCTGCTTCCTTTGCAGAACCGGCCCCTCCCCCCCTACTCAGCATGCTTTATATAGTGGATACTCAGTGAAAAAAAACAAAAAGCTGTCAATCAGTGAGCATCATGGGTGACGGTTGAACTCAGGTTAGAAGGTTGAATTTGTTCAGAGGGGACTACTATATGAATCAATGAAGAGCCACAGGCATTGTGGTGCAGACTGTCTGTAGGACTATTGTTTATTTTAGTTGAAATGCCGGCAGGTAGGGTGTAGGACTGTCTGTAGGACTATAGTTTAAATTATGGCAGGTAGGGTCTAGACCTGTCTGTAGGACTATTGTTTAAAGGTTGACAGGTAGGGTGTAGGACTGTCTGTAGGACTATAGTTCAAATTATGGCAGGTAGGGTCTAGACCTGTCTGTAGGACTATTGTTTAAAGGTTGACAGGTAGGGTGGAGGACTGTCTATTGGACTATTGTTTAAAGCCCAACACTTATTACAGAAAATGAGAAGTTAACTTTTCTCTTGTAACACTTGGACCTGGTGTAAAAAAAACTGCACTCGGTTAAGCCCTAGAACAGTGGTTCTCAACCTTTCTAATGCTGCGACACTTTAAAACAGTTTCTAATGTTGTGGCGACCCCCAACCACATAAATATGTTCGTATCATAAAGTCATTTGGTCACACTAAAGGAGCTATAGACTAGAATTGGCTCTTAAACTGCATGAATCTGCACACTAAGGGAGCTATAGACTAGAATTGGCTGTTAAACTGCATGAAACTGCATGAAATTTATTGCATGAAAATATCAGACAGGAAATTAACTATAAAATACATTCACAGAAATGTTAACAAAATTTTAGTTGTAAAAATTTCACACAAGAGGTCGTATCAAATTGTACACAGTCCATTGACTTATTTACATCATTTTTGGTGGGTGAAAATGACTAGTTTATAATATAAGTCATCTACCTCACATAGCCAGACACACAGGCAATGACCCTGTCCTTAACACCATAGCCAGACACAAAGGCAATGATGACCCTGTACTTAACATCATAGCCAGACACAAAGGCAATGATGACCCTGTCCTTACCCCCATAGCCAGACACACAGGCAATGATGACCCTGTCCTTAACACCCTTGCAAGGACACAAGCCATGCTGACCCTGTACTTAACACCATTGCAAGGACACACACGCAAAGATGACCCTGTCCTCAACACCATTGCAAAGACACACAGGCAAAGGCAATGATGACCCTGTCCTTAACACCATTGCAAGGACACACAGGCAATGATGACCCTGTACTTACCCCCATAGCCAGACACACAGGCAATGATGACCCTGTCCTTACCCCCATAGCCAGACACACAGGCAATGATGACCCTGTCCTTACCCCCATAGCCAGACACAAAGGCAATGATGACCCTGTCCTTACCCCCATAGCCAGACACAAAGGCAATGATGACCCTGTCCTTAACACCATTGCAAGGACACACAGGCAATGATGACCCTGTACTTACCCCCATAGCCAGACACACAGGCAATGATGACCCTGTACTTACCCCCATAGCCAGACACACAGGCAATGATGACCCTGTACTTACCCCCATAGCCAGACACAAAGGCAATGATGACCCTGTCCTTAACACCATTGCAAGGACACACAGGCAATGATGACCCTGTACTTACCCCCATAGCCAGACACACAGGCAATGATGACCCTGTCCTTACCCCCATAGCCAGACACACAGGCAATGATGACCCTGTCCTTACCCCCATAGCCAGACACAAAGGCAATGATGACCCTGTCCTTACCCCCATAGCCAGACACAAAGGCAATGATGACCCTGTCCTTACCCCCATAGCCAGACACACAGGCAATGATGACCCTGTCCTTACCCCCATAGCCAGACACACAGGCAATGATGACCCTGTCCTTACCCCCATAGCCAGACACAAAGGCAATGATGACCCTGTCCTTAACACCATTGCAAGGACACACAGGCAATGATGACCCTGTACTTACCCCCATAGCCAGACACACAGGCAATGATGACCCTGTCCTTACCCCCATAGCCAGACACACAGGCAATGATGACCCCGTCCTTACCCCCATAGCCAGACACACAGGCAATGATGACCCTGTCCTTACCCCCATAGCCAGACACACAGGCAAAGATGACCCTGTACTTACCCCCATAGCCAGACACACAGGCAATGATGACCCAGGACACACAGGCGGCCCATGCTGATCTGGACACAGCATTGTAGAATGCTGCCAGACCCACACTCGTGGGACTGTCTCCACTGATGTCACCATGGATACCGTACACAATAGCTAGACCAGTCGCTACAGCTACCAGCCAACCTAGGATTGCCACATACTGTAAGAAGATCAGAGTGTCAGTACAACTAGTACAAGACAAGTCGGTAATGTACTTACGTATATTTAAATTATACTAAGTTAGTTTACTAAGTATAGCGGAACTGTGTGAAATTTGACATACTGGTACTCTTCAGCACGGTAACATTTATTGATAATATCTGAAAAAATATGCATTTGATTTATTTAACTTATTGTAACATTTCTAATTGATTATTGCAACATTTATTGATATATTTTCAATTACTTACATTTCAACAAACTGTAATCATTAGGTTTATAAGTAAAGCACAAGACCATTTTATCGACCCTAGCGGTACCAGTAGTGTCAGTAACTTAGTGGTGGACAGGCTAGTTCAAAGGGGTGAAGTTTGAATGTTAACAGAATAATTAAATTAACTAATCAACTCTTTAACCCTTCAGTGGTAGGACAGATTGAGTGAAACAAAAATTATAATTTTAATATAAAATATGTAAGACACTTGATATTGACACTGAGATAATTAATAATAAAGAACTTAAAACGGTGAGCTGAAAGCACAAATAGAGTGAATGGTATAAAGCAGCAGTTTTCAACCGATGTGGCAAAAATTCATTTGTTTACAACAAGATTTTGATGCAAGGAATAAAACCAATGTTAAAACTGTTGTTTGTGTGATTCCACCAACATAGTCATTGGAAATGTAAGTACCGGTAAATCACTTTCGATATTGGTACCGTTATCAAATGGAGTTCATCAATTATGCACTGGTATAAAGCATAATATTATTGGACACTTGGACACACTAAAACAGCTTTTTCCTCAATATTTGAAAGTTGAATGGTGTGTCTAAGAGCCTTGATAATAGTTTAAAAAAACAAAGATTGAAAACTGCTGGGTTAGAACAATTTGAGGATTGTTTGTAGGTTATAGAAAAATAATAGGGTTAATTTTATGGACAATGACATTACCAGTTAGGTGATAATGGTATAAAGCAGAGGTAGGCAATGTTTTTTGAGTGTAGAGCCGTTTTATAATTACCCGGTGTCAATGTTAAGAAATATTTAGTGAGCCGCACGAGGGGTGGACAGAGAAAGCGAATGTGTGCATGAGACTGGAAAAATATTTTACTCTGATTCTTGACATTTAGAAACTTATTAAATATACAACACCAGAAGGCATGCGGATACAGTACCAGAAGGCATACGGTTACAGTACCAGAAGGCATCGGGATACAGAGCAAGAAGGTATGCAGATACAGAGCAAGAAGGTTTGCAGATACAGAGCAAGAAGGTTTGTGGATACAGTACCAGAAGGCATGCAGATACAGTACCAGAAGGCATGCAGATACAGTACCAGAAGGCATGCAGATACAGTACCAGAAGGCATGCAGATACAGTACCAGAAGGCATGGGGATACAGTACCAGAAGGCATGGGGATACAGTACCAGAAGGCATGGGGATACAGTACCAGAAGGCATGGGGATACAGTACCAGAAGGCATGCAGATACGGTACCAGAAGGCATGCAGATACAGTACCAGAAGGCATGCAGATACGGTACCAGAAGGCATGCAGATACGGTACCAGAAGGCATGGGGATACAGTACCAGAAGGCATGCAGATACGGTACCAGAAGGCATGCAGATACGGTACCAGAAGGTATGCAGATACAGAGCAAGAAGGTTTGCAGATACAGAGCAAGAAGGTTTGTGGATACAGTACCAGAAGGCATGCAGATACAGTACCAGAAGGCATGCAGATACGGTACCAGAAGGCATGCAGATACAGTACCAGAAGGCATGCAGATACGGTACCAGAAGGCATGCAGATACGGTACCAGAAGGCATGCAGATACGGTACCAGAAGGCATGCAGATACGGTACCAGAAGGCATGGGGATACAGTACCAGAAGGCATGGGGATACAGTACCAGAAGGCATGGGGATACAGTACCAGAAGGCATGGGGATACAGTACCAGAAGGCATGCAGATACAGTACCAGAAGGCAAGGGGATACAGTACCAGAAGGCATGGGGATACAGTACCAGAAGGCATGGGGATACAGTACCAGAAGGCATGGGGATATAAAGCAAAAAGGCGTAATTAATTGTTCAATAATGAAAAGTGCTGCATTTATTCATTTAAAGACCTCAGGTTGCCAACCACTGATATAAAGCATTAATAGGGTCAACCCTACAGGTGTCTAGAAATAGAGCAATAGAAGGGTTATTGGTATAGAGCAATAGTGGGGTCAATGGTATATAAATAGAACAATAAAAGGGTTATTGGTATAGAACAGGGGTCTCCAAACTACGGCCCACGAGGCCCTCTAATGCGGCCCATGGAGACCTTTTTGTCTACGGAAAAAATACGGAATTTAACGTGTATCCTGCCAAGATAAGCCGCCGCTTTCGTGCACGCTATGTTTTTACTGAATTGAAATAGAGGCGCGTTCATGTGTGGTGTATCAATGTGTTATTAAATAATAACTGAATAAAATATTATTAAATAAATAATTCAAAACAACATCCACGTTTTGATTCTTATTTATTTGGACCTCGAGTGTGTAGTCTGCCCCCGAACTGCTGTTTGATAATTAATGCGGCCCTTGGGCTGAAAAGTTTGGAGACCCCTGGTATAGAACAATAGTGGGGTCAATGGTACGGTGTATAGAAATAGAACAATAAAAGGGTTATTGGTATAGAACAATAATGGGGTCAATGGTATAGAAATAGAACAATAAAAGAGTTAATGGTAGAGAACAATAATTGGGTCAATGGTATAGAAATAGAACAATATAAGGGTTAATGGAAGCTAGAGAACAATAATGGGGATCATAATAATAATTTAATTCCTTTACAATTTTTCTGTAATACAGTCAAAAGTTTATGTAAAAATTAATTTATTGCTTTCTAACTTTGGATGGTTGTGGAATACTGGCTACTGAATTTCTACATTTTTCAGATCACATTTTCTATACTCGGTGCCATGTTGTGTTGCCTGGCTTCTGAATAGAACAATCAAACTTTAAGAATCTTTGTATGGAAGATGTTCCATGAACTTGACTAGGAGATTTGTCCGCTAGATTTTAAGAGTAAAATTCATTTGCAAGTTTAATTTCAATTATTTTTCAATTATAATATGCGTGAGAAATGTTTGAGAAACATCGGGTTAACTGACCTGCTTGCTCTGTGTCATCTATAAGATTTGTACCGTACCATATATTTCTTAATACAAATACATTTGAATAAAGGATAAGCACAGTTTGAAGAGTTGCTAGGAAATGTTTGAGAAGCTGGGAATATGCAGAGCATCTAACTGAAACCTGGACACACCCTTGGTAGCTGGATCTTTTTAACATGAGCAAGAATCATCCCGGCCAGCATGCCTACAACAAATGGTCCCAGTCTACACCAGGGTTTAATGTAGTAGTCACTAAACCAGTCGGCCCTAATGATAACAGATGGTACATGGAATCAGCAAGATGGAGGGTTATTAACTGAAGGAAGATGTGTGAGGCATCAGGAGACTACTGTTGAGTCATCACAAGACTGGCGAGTCATCACAAGACTGGTGAGTAATCCTGAGACAAATGCACCATTTTAGAATGAATATTTGACTGTTGTTCTTAGATCTCCCCATAAACACTAGGGGTAAATGATGTTGCAAACTGTCCATGATACTTAACACATCTTCCACTGCACTAAGGAGTCTCGCCATTAAGTGTTATGTCTCAAAGAATGGAATGGGATTTTATCATGGAAACTGTTCTCAAACTATGACATTTTTTATCGGCCAAGTTATAAGGTACAGTATAACTTATAAAAGGATTATATGTTGTTCAGTATTGAGATTGTTGACCATCTGACATAATGATATCATGGTGATATTGAACAGAGATGTCAATATTACATATTATAATATGTTGATGAAGTACGCAGACTGTTTAAAATATTATCATATTATGTTGTTGATGATGTACGGGGTACTGAGATTGTTACAATCTTAATATTGTAGATGATTTACTGAGATTGTTACGATCTTAATGTTGTTGATGTTGTACTCAGACTGTTAAAAATATCTCCCCATGTACTTCCTAAACTAACCTAATTTGACCAATACAAAACTTATAAAAAGAAATAAGAAATAACACAAATATTAATAAATATCTACACATGTATGAAGTATGAGTGCATACAATTGTTATCTTATTGGTTGCATGTCATGCAGCATTTGTGCATACAATTGTTAGGGTATCTCATTAGTTGCATGCCATGCATCAGTCCAACTGTCTTTAGTTATTATAAGCCAAAATTTAAAGACAACCAGCAGCCAATAAGTCATGCAGTTGTTTACAAACAAATGTAAAGCATACCACTACAAGCCAGACATGCTACACCACCAGCATACTACTACAAGCCAGACATGCTACACCACTGACAACAACAATGAGTTTTCAACAAGCCAGTGACTGGTGAGAATGTTGGCTAACTGTTGGTCACTCCAACCCACCCTGTCCATCTTGATCCTGCCGTTGTTGACAGCCAGCAGGTAACCTGCTAGGATGCCTACGACAAAAGCCCCAATGCGACACCAGGGGGCTTTATAATAGTTGTCAAACCAGCCCATGATAGTTGAGCTGAAAGTTGAGATGGTGGACAATGAGAGATGGTGGACGATGACAGATGGTGGACAATGAGGACGGTTGACAGTGTCAGTGAGATCAGGTGGACAGTGAGATGGTGGACAGTGAGATCAGGTGGACAGTGAGATCTTGTGGACAGTGAAATCAGGTGGACAGTGAGATTTGGTGGACAGTGAGATTTGGTGGGCAGTGGGATCTGGTGGGCAGTGAGATCTGGTGGACAGTGAGATTTGGTGGACAGTAAGAAATTGTGGACATTGACAGATGGTTGACAATGAGAGATGGTGGACAATGAGAGATGGTGGACAATGAGAGTTGGTGGACAGTGAGATATGGTGGACAATGAGAGATGATGGATAATGAGAGAAGGTTGGTGATGAGAAATGGTTGATTATGAGAGATGGTGGACTGTGAATGATGGTGGACAAAGTGAGATGGTGGAGATTGAGAGATGGGGGAGACTGAGAGATGGTGGACAATGAGAGATGGTTGATGATGAGAGATGGTGGACTATGAATGATGAATGACAGTGAGAGATGGTGGCTGATGAGATACAGTGGACTATGAGAGATGGCCACAATGACACACTCATCAACAGAATGGTAGAAACAGACTATGATCAATGAGATATAAATGGCAAATTAACCAATTTCATTGATTTTCATATCTTGCTAAAACTACATTGACCAAAACTGACAGGGAAAAGTCATGTGATGGGGGAGGCAAGTGGCCTGTGATGCAATTGAAGGTTAAATGTGCAGCTGTGACATAATTTAATGTTACCTAGGCACCAGTAACACAACTTAATCCCGGGTATAAGACTACAGTTTGAGCATTTTAAGTTGACTTACACGTTAGAACCTGCACCCATTGACACCAAAGTGACGGGCCAGCTGTTCTGGTTGGACAGAACACCAGCGGAGATAAAGTTGATCAGCAGGAAGACACTACAGCTCACCACTCCAGCTACAACATTGCTGGTGATACAAGAACACAACAGTAAGATTTCTAAAGAGGAAATTGTAATATTGCAATAACATACCAGTACGATACCGTACATAAGAATAATATTGCCATTTCTTTTTTTACCAGTTACGGTACCGGTATTAAAATAAAAAATTTAAAGAAACATTTTAAAGTGCAATAAAAAAATGAGCAGTTTTTAAAATTTGTTTCGACAAAACAAAATACAGGGAATGTCCATTTCCTAAATGCCGATTATTTGACACGTCTGTTATTTGAATGGCCCCTGTCATTTATTATTATTATTAAATTATCGCAGGCAATGCGCATGGCATACAAACAAATGAAAACTCTTCCCATCCCAGACCCATAATCGAGGTAAGATCTCAATACCTGCTGTACATGCAGTGACTGCAGTAGATCACAGAATACACCACAGAATACACCACATAATACATCACAGAATACATCACAGAACACATTACAGAATACATCACAGAATACATCACAGAATACACCACATAACCGATCACAGAACACATCACTGAACACATTACAGAAACATCACAGAATACATCACAGAACAGATTACAGAAGACATAACAGAATACATCAAAGAACACATTACAGAATACATTACAGAATACACCACAGAATACATCACAGAACACACCACAGAATACACCACAGAATACACCACAGAATACATCAAAGAACGCATTACAGCATACATCACAGAATACATCACAGAACACATTACAAAATACATCACAGAATACATCACAGAACACATTACAGAATACATTACAGAACACATCACAGAATACATCACAGAACACATCACAGAATACACCACAGAATACACCACAGAATACATCACAGAATACACCACAGAATACATCACAGAATACACCACAGTGTACAACACAGAATACACCACAGAATACACGCCTGCAAAGACAAAGTGATCCAAGTGCCAGTCTTCTTTTTTTTGGAAGCTATGCAAGCTCTTAATGCCCCCCCCCCCGCACACGGGCCGAGCACGGGGTCTCCCCGCCACCAGACCGTGTGGTAGCACTTCGGGAACCTCCCCACAGGCCTGCGGGATGCCGGGTAACGCCTGCAAAGACAAAGTGATCCAAGTGCCAGTCTTCTTTTTTTTGGAAGCTATGCAAGCTCTTAATGCCCCCCCCCCCCGCACACGGGCCGAGCACGGGGTCTCCCCGCCACCAGACCGTGTGGTAGCACTTCGGGAACCTCCCCACAGGCCTGCGGGATGCCGGGTCGACTGAAAACTCTGCGTTTAAAGCGTTTGTGGTCCACTCTCCCCTCCACCGCCCGGGTGTCTTTTGGTCGGGATGGAAAGCTGGGATGAAACCGTTGCCTAGAAGTTGCTTTCTCACGGCAGCGTAGCTAAAATCATTGGCATTGGTTTTAACCACCACCAAGGCATTATATCCATCAAACCCCATGTAGTCACCCCCAAGTTTCCTTGAAGGCACTCCCGCTTACACTAACTATAAGGTTAGAATATATGGATTCTATGCACTAACTATAAGGTTAGAATATATTGGATTCTATGCACTAACTAATCGGTTAGAATATATTGGATTCTATGCACTAACTAATCGGTTAGAATATTTTGGATTCTATGCACTAACTATAAGGTTAGAATATATTGGATTCTATGCACTAACTAATCGGTTAGAATATATTGGATTCTATGCACTAACTAAAAAATAAGGAGGAATATACCAGTTTTAGGTTATATGCACTAACCATAAGGATGGAACATATAGGTTTCAATGTACTAACTTGATTAAAACACCCATTCGGTGGGAGTGTTATGTGAAACACCCCTGGTTACAATAGATCAGAAAATCAACGCTCTTCTGTACCGGTATCTATAGGCCTTCCTATAGGGGACTTCACTCACAACTAAAATATTAAATGTAGAGTCAACTTACAAGTAAAAATGGAGAATGACCCGGTTGCTGAAAGGGGAATCAACTTACAAGTAAACATGGAGAATGACCCGATGGCTGAAAGGGGAATCAACTTACAAGTAAAATGGTATCAGCATGAGTGGACTCAGGACAAAAAACTGCATATCGTTGGACAGATACCATGAGTGTCCAAAACACTGGGGAGAAAAATATTAATTTTGTAAAGCCTTTCAACTGTACAGATTCTATAAAGTCACTGTACATGTAGTCTAATTTAACAACACACATCATTCTAAAGCAATCTAACATTATTATAGTTGGAGAGTTGCTCCATTCATCAGCCTCATTCTCTACCCCTTGCCTAATTGATCCAATCGCAAGACTTAGTCAAGACAAATGGAAATAGACCAGGATGCAGGAGATGACCAGCAGTTATTTTTATGTGAGTCACAGTGCTCTTTATACAGTTCCTGACGCAGGAGGTGTCGGAATTTTCATTGTGTCAATGTCATACCAACTACGGGACTCCATCTCCGGGTTTTCATTTCTGAGTTTGCTCTTAGTTGAGTTGTCATCCAAGGTTAACATGTCCCATCCGCCCCCCCCCCCTCCTGAAGAGACTCATGCTACTTCTGCCACATGACTTATGATGTACGGTGTAGAAATACAGAAAGTAAATGTCAAACACTTGTGGTGGTGGTTTGGTCCAGCTGGAGTAAAGCCAAAACAAAGCAAACAACTTGTCAACTTGAACAAATGATAGCAATAAAATAATTCAAATAATAAAGTGAAAATCACATTTTTGTAAAGAACCCAGTAATAAGAAAAGTAGAAAGCATTCATAAAATCATGAAAGGATTCTTTGAGAGCATCTCCAATTGACCAAGTTATATTCCTGACAGCTGCTGACCAATGTTCAACTTTCAATAAGGGGGTTGAGGGTTAAATCATCTCATCCACATTATTTTTTATTTCCTGGTCATTTTTCTGATGTAGGTTTATTGGAGTATGGTGCTGTACAACGTTCTAAACAGCTAAGATTCTGACATAGGTTTATTGGAGTATGGTACTATACAACTTTCTAAACAGCTAAGATTCTGACATAGGTTTTTTGGAGTACCAGGTATCAGTATAGTTTAAAAACTTTTTAAACAGCTAAGTTTATTCTCAGATATTTAGTTCTTTCACTTTTAAATATAGATAATTGTAACTGTTATAATTTCTATTTATAGATTGGTGAATGGTTAAAGTTGAACCATTGATTTTTCTTCTCTAATTCAAGATAACTGTACCGGTACCTTGAACCTAAACATTTCTTACAAACTGAATTTAAATTGTTATTCCCACAAAATTAAACTTTATTTAATGTTCAATAGTAAAATATTTTCAATTGGCAGAGTAATCAAATATTTGCCAGAAGTCAATCAATTGATTATATATGTTTGATTATACAGTCTATATCAGGATCCCACGATAGTAGCAAAAATAAAAAGAGGCAGGCTACGCTGGGCAGGACACCTAGAGAGAATGCCAAATGACAGAGCAACAAAGGGGGTACATCACCAATACCCCAGAGGAAAAAGGCTCAGAGGCAGACCTAGGCTTAGGTGGATAGATGATGTGGAAAATGATCTACAGCAGTTGAAAGTCCAAGCATGGAAAAGAAAGGCATTAGTTAGGTCTGAAAGGAAGGAAGTGGTGAGGCAGGCCAAAGCCCTATATGGGCTGTAGCGCCACAGAGATGGATGGATAGAGTAATCAAATATTTGCCAGAAGTCAATCAATTGATTTTATGTTTGTTAGTATGTAGAGTTTAAAAAAACAACTTTGTATGGATTATGTTATGTATTAAATGGATACAATACTCATTAAATGAAACTGACCATATACTTGGAATCAATCAGATTGTTGACATACAGCAAGTTGGCCCACCAGTACTTCTCACAGTTTTCTTTGTCAGCGGGCTCCAAATTTGACCACAGTGCACCAGATCCTAGGTACTGCATGAAGCCCAGTACTAACAGTAGGGTCAGCATGTAGGGTGGGGTCAATCTTGGGACAGAAGAAGGGTCAGTATGTAAAATGGGGTCAAGCTTGGGACAGACATAGGGTCAGTATGTAAGATGGGGTCAATCTTGGGATAGAAGGAGAAGTACAGTCAGGATATAAGATGGGGTCAATCTTGTGATAGAAGTAGAAGTACAGTCAGGATATAAGATGGGGTCAATCTTGGGATAGAAGTAGAAGTACAGTCAGGATGTAAGATGGGGTCAATCTTGGGATAGAAGTAGAAGTACAGTCAGGATATAAGATGGGGTCAATCTTGGGATAGAAGTAGAAGTACAGTCAGGATATAAGATGGGGTCAATCTTGGGATAGAAGTAGAAGTACAGTCAGGATGTAAGATGGGGTCCATCTTGTGATAGACGTAGAAGTACAGTCAGGATATAAGATGGGGTCAATCTTGGGATAGAAGTAGAAGTACAGTCAGGATATAAGATGGGGTCAATCTTGGGATAGAAGTAGAAGTACAGTCAGGATGTAAGATGGGGTCCATCTTGTGATAGACGTAGAAGTACAGTCAGGGTGTAAGACAGGGTCAATCTTGGGATAGAAGTAGAAGTACAGTCAGGATATAAGATGGGGTCAATCTTGGGACAGAAGAAGAGTATAAGTAAAATCAATATCTTAGATGGGGTCAATCTGGGAACAGACACAGAGAAGAGAAGTAGTGTCATGCCCCTTAAAATACTTGGGTGTTGGGTGATCACATCACTTTGTTTAAAATAATTGACTAGCAACACTGTTCCCTTAATCAAAACATTGGCTACTTAATCAAGTTATTTGAACATTGGCCAGTTATCAATTTATCAGTACTGGTATTTAAAACATTGACTGGGTGAACTTATTTTTACCGGTTGCTCAAACAAATTAAATGTGAATATTTGAATATGAAACAGCCGCTTGTTTTGAGACTATCTGCTGGCTGTTGAAATGTAATGAGCCAACCAGGCCATGTCAGTTACAGATGGCTGTTGAAATGTAATGAGCCAACTAGGCCATGTCAGTTACAGATGGCTGTTGAAATGTAATGAGCTAACCAGGCCCTGCCAGTTACAGATGGCTGTTGAAATGTAATGAGTTAACCAGGCCATGCCAGTTACAGATGGCTGTTGAAATTTAATGAGCTAACCAGGCCATGTCAGTTACAGATTGCTGTTGAAATGTAATGAGCTAACGAGCCCATGTCAGTTACACAGCTAACATACCTCCAGAATCTGTGGAAATAAAACAGGGGCCAGTTGATCTTCCAGCCATGTTTTCTCATTTCTTTAATGGTGAGGTAAGCTGTCAGAAGACCACTGGAAGTGAAACAAAAGACATTTCTTTAATGGTAAGGTAAGCTGTCAGTAGACCACTGGAAGTGAAACAAAAGACAATTATAATATTTAAAAGTTGAAGTTGAAACTTGAACCTCAGCTACATCGTGATCACTGTTCCCATATATATATTTGTCAAGTATGGGAGTTCATTAGTAATTATTGCAACTAAATGTTATGTTTATTAGTTATTGAACGCTCTTCTCGCGCTTGTCTCTATGACGTATTTTTATGCTGAGTGTTATGTATTGTCTAGACAGTATTGTGACGTAAGTTTTAGTCGTGTGGCAGTCTTGAGTGGAACTTTGTAGAAGTAGGATGTATATTATTTACGTCTGATAACGAGCTGCGCTACATTCATGTGTTTATGTGTATAGTAGGCCCCATATACTTAGATATTAAAGTTATAATTAAAATGAAAAGGACTTGAGTTTATTCAGTGATAGTAAGAATAGTATGACGTATTCAACGTGTGAAAGAACTTGACGAATTAATCAATCTAAGTAGACTTAGGAGTTGACAATATTGATCACTGCTCCCACATATATATATTATTGATCACTCCTCCCAAGTGTATATATTGATCATGCTCCCACATATAAACTGATCACTGCTTCCACATATGTATTGATCAATACTCCCAAATATATATTGATCACTGCTCCCACATATATATATTCATCAATGCTCCCACATATATATTGATCAATGCTACCACTTATATATTGATCAATGCTCCCACTTATATATTGATCAATGCTCCCACTTATATATTGATCAATGCTCCCACTTATATATTGATCAATGCTCCCACTTATATATTGATCAATGCTCCCACTTATATATTGATCAATGCTACCACTTATATATTGATCAATGCTCCCACTTATATATTGATCAATGCTCCCACTTATATATTGATCAATGCTCCCACTTATATATTGATCAATGCTCCCACTTATATATTGATCAATGCTCCCTCTTATATATTGATCAATGCTCCCACTTATATATTGATCAATGCTCCCACTTATGTATTGATCAATGCTCCCACTTATATATTGATCAATGCTCCCACTTATATATTGATCAATGCTCCCACTTGTATATTGATCACTGCTCCCACATATATATTCATCGATGCTCCCACCTATAAATTGATTACTTCCCCTCAATTAACCAAATATAAACCAGATTCTTGGAAAAAATCCTTTCTTTAATACAACTACCGGTAGCAATGAAGTCCCCCCAACCCCCCTTATTTTTTTTTACCTTAAGGCCAATAGTATTTTCGTTTTTACCGAAACCTCCAGAATGATCTTCCCACCCTCACTGCAGCTGTTTGGTCAATAATTCAACACCTGTAGACCCCATTAAAAAAAGTTCTGTCCAAATTGTACAAGAGAGTTGGTCACCTGATACAAGACTATTATGAATATGTTACCTCAGAGTGAAGAAAGTATCCACAGAAACAAATCCATTGGCTATGGGGTCAAATGTCCACCTCTTGAGGAGTTCAGGGAAGGATTCAAATGCATTGGCTGTAGAATAATCATAAGTGGCTATTGTGATAAGGATCTTTGTCCAAAACTTTCAGTGACCTAATATTTAAAATATTTCAGACATGACAAAGACATTGTTCTGAAATAAAATTGATACAATTTGGAAAAGGCTGCTCTAGAGATCTTAATTTTGTCCTAAAAGAAAATGACTGCATCACATTTAACACAAATTAAATGCTAATACTATGATTACTTTTAAACTTTAATGTTTCCAAAATATGCATATTCATATAATACTGGCACTGATATTTTCAAATAGTAAATTTTACTACCATGCAAAACAGATGACAGAGTGCCATAAACAGATGGCTCAATGCCATAAACAGATGACTCAATGCCATAAACAGATGGCTCAGTGCCATAAACAGATGGCTCAGTGCCATAAAACAGATGGCTCAGTGCCATAAACAGATAACTCAGTGCTGTAAACAGATGACTTGTTGCTGTCAACAGATGAATGATTGCCGTAAACAGACAACTCAGTGCCATACCATATTGAGATTTTGAACAACTAGCTTAAATGAACTCACCATTTTAGCTTTGTATGAAACTAATTATGCGACTTATGTTGTACAACGGTGCGTCTCAAACTTTTGACTCTGATAGGCCAGCAGGATTAAACCCAACCTTCAGCAGGAACCGCTCCTCCATTATTTATTACTACCCGGTATTATTCTGTTTTCTTAACTTTTTCACAGTTCACTGACCAGCAATGAGGGGCCCTGCTGCGTCTTGTGTGACCATTTGTTTCACAGTTCACTGACCAGCACTGAGGGGCCTGCTGCGTCTTGTATGACCATTTGCTTCACAGTTCACTAACCAGCAATGAGGGCCCTGCTGCATCTTGTGTGACCATTTGTTTCACAGTTCACTAACCAGCAATGAGGGGCCTGCTGCATCTTGTGTGACCATTTGTTTCACAACAATAAAAAAGTGTTGCAGTGTACTTACAAATGAAACTAATACCAAAAATGTAGGTGTGACAGAATATGATCCATGTCATGCTGAGGAAACGTATTCCATGGACGGCGCCAAGAGATCCCGGAGGCTGGTATGTGTTCAATACTTTGGATCCATTGGTATATACAGAAAAAGCCAGCAAAGTCTGAGAGAGAACACCTGCAAGAAAGTGATGTTTAAATTGTTAGGTGAACTAGCTGCTCTACAGAGAGTGGAAATGTGTTATGATTGTTAGGTGAATTAGCTGCTCTACAGAGAGTGGAAATGTGTTATGATTGTTAGGTGAACTAGCTGCTCTATAGAAAGTGGAAATGTGTTATGATTGTTAGGTAAACTAGCTGCTCTATAGAAAGTGGAAATGTGTTATGATTGTTAGGTGAACTAGCTGCTCTATAGAAAGTGGAAATGTGTTATGATTGTTAGGTGAACTAGCTGCTCTATAGAAAGTGGAAATGTGTTATGCTACATGATAATTGAACAAACTTTAAATAAATGATAAATTAAAATTATCACAATAATTACCTTATTGATTTTAAGTTACTATTTTTCTAGTTTGGATATTCACTATCAATTGTTGGGCACCGAATATTGTGTTTTATTGTGCGTGGTGTGTTAGTTCAGTTCATGAACTATTTTGGAGACATTAGGCTTGTTACATAGTTTGATGTGATTTTATTGTAGCTGTGACTAGTGTCTATAGCCCTGTCTTTTGGCAACTGGTGTCAGAGGGTAGTAGGAAAAGGCTGTGCTATATTCTTCTACATACAGTTATAGCAAGCTGCGCTACACGTGTGTTTGATTATATGTAAAACCTGATATATATGTTTCTATATTAACTTTTAAATTGCTCTGGGAAAAAAGGACTTATGTTGAGTTTGGTGTAATTATGACGTATGCACTTGTAAAAGAATTTGATGCAAGAATCTAATCATTATGGATCGCGACAAAAATTTTAAGGAGCTCCTTAAATTTTGGTGTTCATGTGTACTGGGACCTAGTATGAAGATTTAAATTATGGAGGGAAAAGTGCAGCCTTTACTTAGAGCTATACGGGAGATGTCTTTTGTGGATGTTGATTTAAATTATGGAGGGAAAAGTGCAGCTTTTACTTAGAGCTATACGGGAGATGTCTTTTGTGGATGTTGATTTAAATTTTAACACTTTCTTGGAAATCAATAAGTTTGAATTGGCTTCTGAAGAAACATACCTGTTTGCATACCCTGTTCTCATACCCTGTTCTCATACCCTGCTCTCATACCCTGCTCTCATACCCTGCTCTCATACCCTGCTCTCATACCCTGCTCTCATACCCTGTTCTCATACCCTGCTCTCATACCCTGCTCTCATACCCTGCTCTCATACCCTGCTCTCATACCCTGTTCTCATACCCTGTTCTCATACCCTGTTCTCATACCCTGTTCTCATACCCTGTTCTCATACCCTGTTCTCATAACCTGTTCTCATCATGGAGAAAGAATCAGGACTAAAACCCAGTTAACAAATGTTTACAAAAGGAAATATAAATTTCCTGTTTTTTTATAACAACTAAACATAAAACTATTTGGTTTTATCTAGAAGAGATTTTATTAGCCTGCAACTTGCGACCTCAAACAATTCTATGAGGGGATTTCTCAGTTGAAATATCTTACATGGGGAAAATTGGTCAATTCTTATTTAAATAATTTATTAACTTATTTTATAATTTAAAGACATTATATTTTATAATTTAAAGACATTATATTTTATAATTTAAAGACATTATATTTTATAATTTAAAGACATTATATTTTATAATTTAAAGACATTATATTTTATAATTTAAAGACATTATATTTTATAATTTAAAGACATTATATTTTATAATTTAAAGACATTATATTTTATAATTTAAAGACATTATATTTTATAATTTAAAGACATTATATTTTATAATTTAAAGACATTATATTTTATAATTTAAAGACATTATATTTTATAATTTAAAGACATTATATTTTATAATTTAAAGACATTATATTTTATAATTTAAAGACATTATATTTTATAATTTAAAGACATTATATTTTATAATGTCTTCTTTTTTATTTTCCTTTCCTTTTTTTTGTTTTTGTTATTTTTTTAGTTGAGTTTTTGTTGAATGACAACTTTTATTATTTAGTAAGTCAATATTTATTTATTTATTTATTCAGGCATTTTTATATAGTGCTTACCTTAAAGCTCTAAGCGCTTTACAATTATTAAAAACATGTAAACTAAGTAAAATAAAAATGAGACATTAGGATAGTAACTACTATGAGGGCTTGTATTGACCATGCTAATTCTCCTACCTGAAGCCACATGAGGGCTTGTATTGACCATGCTAATTCTCCTACCTGAAACCACATGAGGGCTTGTATTGACCATGCTAATTCTCCTACCTGAAACCACATGAGGGCTTGTATTGACCATGCTAATTCTCCTACCTGAAGCCACATGAGGGCTTGTATTGACCATGCTAATTCTCCTACCTGAAACCACATGAGGGCTTGTATTGACCATGCTAATTCTCCTACCTGAAACCACATGAGGGCTTGTAGTGACCATGCTAATTCTCCTACCTGAAACCACATGAGGGCTTGTATTGACCATGCTAATTCTCCTACCTGAAACCACATGAGGGCTTGTATGACCATGTAAATGTTGCCTGTACGTTTATGATACTATATTAGGGCTCATTTGACCAGGCAAATGTTGCCTCTATATTACCTGAAGCTCTACTCTGTGACGGCCTGGCAGGTTTCCCGGCAAGTAACAATGTTGTTTCATCTGCTGGACCAACAGCTCCGTTGTCCTGATCAGCAGCACCTGTAAATTTATTCTCAGGATAACGGACATTGGTTAGTAGACTGGCTTCATCTACTTCTTGCAGCCATTTTGGACGTTGGATGAAGATGATGTCGAAGGCGGTGCCCAGAAGCATAAGTGTTCCAATGATGACCAAAACGGCTCTGACGAAAGAATGGATAAATGTTTTTGAAGAATTCTTTACTCCCCACTTTGACCTTCGCGGCATCATTTTATCACGTTTTTTAAAATGTATATTCATTAAAAAGTTGATCGAGATAGTGATAGTATGATACCTCATTCATTGTGCGCTCAGTTGTCTGAGTCAATTTGACACCTCTGTATTACAATTAAAATTACTGTACGTATGGACTATGGGCCTATGTCTCTGAGCACCACAGCAAGTAGGGGTTGTGTATAAACTCTGTGTGTGTAATTAAACTTATACGGTAATAATAATAATAATATGATATGTGTAGCGGCTAATATGTCTAATTTTCTCTTATTTTGTCTAACATATTGGATAATAAGAGTGCAATGGTGACTAAAGGAAGTTATTTCCTGTCCTCCAGAGTGTTTTCAAATGTTACAAACCATATTGAGAGGATCATCAACAGGTTTGCCATGCTCTAACTACAAAAATATTTCATTGATAATCCTACACCTCGGAAAATCACTTATCGCAGTTTAAATCTGGCTGGAACTGATGAACCACGATAAACAAGGCTTTTTAATGTGGGATTTCAAACAGGACAAGGATTGATTGAGTACTGAACAGTAATGTTGATCACTGATGTCATGCTGAGCAGTAATGTTGATCACTGATGTCATGATAAGCAGTAATGTTGATCACTGATGTCATGCTAAGCAGTAATGTTGATCACTGATTTCATAATGAGCGGTAATGTTGATCACTGATTTCATAATGAGTGGTAATGTTGATCACTGATGACATTTACTGACATAATAATCAGCAAGTTTATAAACTATTGAAACTTCAGCAGACCATTTTATATATTAGTACCCTAAAATCTTTTTGCTTTCATCGCAACCCTTCCCAATGTATCTCAACCCTGACCCTAGCCTCCAATTCTCTCCAAACCTCACCATCTTCCTCTTCCCAATGTATCTCAACTCTGACCCTCAGGCTCCAATTCTCTCCAAACCCCACCCTCTTCCTCTTCCCACTGTATCTCAACTCTGACCCTCAGGCTCCAATTCTCTCCAAACCCAACCATCTTTCTCTTCCCAATGTATCTCAACCCTTACCCTTGGCTCCAATTCTCTCCAAACTCCACCATCTTCCTCTTCGCCCTCTTCACTGTTCCACCCTATCCCAACCTGTTCCCCTCTGATCCACTTATCCCTGGCCTTTAGCCTTACAATGGCAATACTGAAGAGCCATCAGTTTAATGTATTGTCGTTACTTCCATTTGGTGAAACCTAAATATAAAAGACAAAGAACTTATACCCGTTAAATAGAGTTTTGAATATCCACATCGGCCCCTTTAATTCATCTTCCCTAAATACAATGAATGTTGATCTGATCATGCATTACAATGTCACAGTCAATACACAAAAGTCCACTTGACGTACGTGTATGTGTTCAAGTAATAAATTACATGCAGTCCCTATCAGAAACCTTATTGTCAATGTGCCAAGTTTTGTTAAGTTGCTGTGCACAGTGGGTGTGTGTGTGTGTGTTTGGGCATGGAGGTGATGACACCAGAGAGTTCATTGGAACTTGTTTATATACTGTATACATTTCATAGAGTATTTTAACCAGACCATTAGTTGTATATAGCTCATTGGCTACTCACATGGACACTTTGGTGGCAGTGGTCATCTCCCTCTCATCTGTGTGACATTGTGCACTCCCATTTTGAAAAGTTCCATTGGTCAGTCTTGAGACCACTAGATTTGACAGACAACCCATTGTTATGATACTTTTTGAATGAGAAACTTTCACCTGATACACTATCAAATTTTTACAAGATTTTATCAACACTAGCTGTGAGTCTAACACTAACTGCTCCTACTGCAGTGGTTCCCAACATGTGATTTCAATGGAATGTGACAGGAATGGGACACCTAGCAGTTCTGGTGCAAACCAGTAACTGGGGGAAGGGAGGGAGAAGGGGGAGGGGGGGTTTCATCCACCCTGCTAGTTATGATTAGCTGAGTTTGTTTTCATTCACATTTTGATCTCAAATCTGTGGTATTCATACTTTGACTTAATCTTTTTCCTTAAGTAATGAAAATAATGTATATTTGCTACCTCATAGGGTCATTTAAAAAAACAAACGCTATCAAGACAGTTCAAGAGCTTTGCACACTCACATTCCTGGGTGAGACTTGAAGTCTCTTCTTCTGTGCAGGTATCAGGCATGCAGGCTCCAAGCTGGACGGCCAGTGCAAATAATGGACTGGATCCCCCCTGTAATGAGAGCATCATGGTGTCTGCCATTTCAAGCTGGATCTCACAAATAACAAACAATAACTACTTAATAACTGAGCCTGGCTTTCTTTCATTGAGGAGCCTAGCGTCAAAGTTAGAGTTTCAAAAATCTAAAATAAGATTTTTGATCAAAGAAATTCTTAAAATATCAGAAAACAGATAACTGTCAACTGACCAGTGTTACATAAAGGGTACAGTAGTTTCCCTTGAATCCTTTCCTCTCAGGCGAAATGTCTGGCGCTCGTGCTGCTCTGCATTGTTTATAATTGCCCACAAAGTTGATGCGGTAAAGGGTCACTCCTGGGACAATTTTGCCAGCAGCATCTAAAACTGTTTAAAATATTTGAGGGGAAATAAACAGAGCATTGATAAGTTCAGAAAATGCAGTTAAAATCCAGGTAATTTTTTTAATCATCTATAACAAAGAAAGTCATTCAATAAGTCAATTGTAAAAATATTTGCACATCTGAATTAAGATTGTATTCCGTTATGTGTTGAAATCACAAGTCATTGAAAGTTGGTATTTTTAAGAATAATCTTTGATTGGATTGATTGAATGTTCATAATTAATGAACAAGAAATGAAACTGACCACTCAGAGTTGTTTTTTTACAAAATGATTTTATTTTGAAAACTAAATTTGCTAATTTTAGAATTATTTTATGAATCTGATTAACTTTGTTTAAGATTTGAGTTGGTTTTTACTGTAATTCTATATTTTATAATAGTAACTTACACTGCAATGACCATTTCTGAGTTTTATCAAACCAACTGGTTAAGACTCGAGCAGTGTCATTGGCACATGTTGATGTTGAGTTTGCCCCACTCCTGATGGTCAGGGCCTGGAGAGATTCCATGACAACACTGACGTACTCAGACAAACCGTCTTTACTATGGTCATCATGATTGAAGTTCAACAGCTTTGCCTGGCCAACATGCAGGCTACTAAGGATGGTTTCCAGTTCTCTATGGTAACCCTCATTCTTGACCAGTTCCTTGTAATTCTGTGCCTTGAGGCCGGCATGGGCCAGGATTTCAAAGTAGGTGTGACCCCCAGATGATGCTGTATCTGGAGCAGACCAGGAAGTGGATAGCATCATTGACAAGACCATGCCAACAGAAAGTGTTAGCCTCTTGTTCATGATGGATCCAAGTCTTGTTGAGATCAGAATGTGGATACAATGCCCTTGTTATTTCAATGGCACTAGACGATGTGGATGCAGATGTCCTGGTTAAAAGATCCCCTTGGTTTTAGAAGTTAGTACATACTGTGCTATGAGCTTTGGTTTGGCCTGATGACACTTCTTATCTTAAATCTGTAGAATACAATACAAATATCTCCTTGTTCACCTTGAGTAGAAATACATGGACTAAGTGGGAAACACAAGAGCTCTTGAAGTTAGTTAAATACACTAATGATAGTTAAGCTTAATGTTATTCTTCTCTCTTGAACAAGAATCCATAATTAAAAACTGGGTTTACTTATGTAATAATCTCTAAGTTCTAAGCCTTTGTCAGGAGTTACATAATCATGCTCAACACACTGATGCTGAAGTTATTCATGTTTAAATGGTCTATAATTATACGCCAAGCTTAATTTTAGAGGTTGAAACCGGGAGACATAGGAGTACGTTTCACCAGTGGATTGAACAAGACCCTGGGGTTCCTAAGGCAAAATTTGAAGATTAACAACTCAAGCGTGAAAGAAAAAGCCTATAAAGCCTTTGTACGGCCGCCTTTAGAGTACACATCTACAGGGTACCCAGAAAAGCATCAACAGGTTGGAGGCGGTCCAGCGACAGTCCTGAACCGCTATAGAAACACCTCAAGTGTTGGCAGTATGCTAGAAACACTGGTCTGGTCACCATTGGAAGAACACACTTCCTGACGCTCTCAGAAACAGCCAGACACTGGAGTCTTTCAAAACCGAATTGAAAACATATCTATTTTGCAAACACCTGCTGGGGTGATGTTGTCTACCATCTTTTCCAGCTGGCTATTATCTCCTAGATGTGTATTGGCCTGTGTTTTTTATGTTTGCAAGGGATGAAAGACTTGGAATGGGTATTCTCGTATTTAGTTTTTGTAAAGTTGCGTTTTGTATTTCAATGTGGTATAATATAGATTTTTTCATTTCTCTTTTAATATGGTTGACTTTGTACTGTGCTTCGAGCCTTTGGGGATGAAGCATGATTTTCAAATAAACTTTATTATTATAATTATTAAGAACGACGACGACTATCCAGGCTCACCATGTTGTACAAGATCAAAAATGGGCTGGTTCACTGCTCCAGCATCAAACAGAAACTCATCCATCTCCCCCCTAGACAGCGGGGAGGCCATGACAAGCAGTTCCGGCTATTAAAAACAAGAACTCATTACAGGAGCTCCTCATTCCCGCCAAAGACAATAAGGGACTGGAACAAGCTTCCAAAAGCAACAGTTGAGGCGACTATACTCGACACATTTGTGTCTATTACCTCCTGTCTTCCAGCCCCCAGTTCATAATACCACTTCTAAGTAGCCCTTGCAACCAGTGAAGTATCCCTTTGAAAACCATGCAAAGCATCATCGCGAACCCCTCTGAAACAAAGGAGCCAGAATGATCATAGATCAGGAGCCCTCAAAATAGAGAAGAGAAGAAGAGAAGAAGATTGAAAAATAAAAAAGAGTAATGCATGTCTGGTTATCTAATTATATTTTTCACTGTACCTTCAAGAATATATATTTTTTTTTTTCTAAATTAGCTATTTCAGAATTCTAAATATAAAAAATACAATTTTAAACTTTACAATGTTACCGTATCTATTGTCAATTTGTTAGGATCAATTAAGCAGCCTTATCATTTTATAACTGTTTGATATGCCTAAAGTTGAACTCAATGAACCATGTGAAATGTGGAATTTATAACAATAAGCTTGTGTTTTCCCTACAAGTCATTTCCCCTGCACTCAGATTTCAACCCACATTTTAAAGCAAACAAGTGATAAGTAAAGATAAGATTATGTCTTGTCATACACAAATGTTTCGTCACTTTACAATATTTATAAATAGATAAATATAGCATAAAGCAAACCTAGTGTACACAGTGCAAATGTCCATGATAAGCATGCATGATAACTTTGATTTTTTAATTCATTTAAATAAACAATAAAGATCTCAGATAAATTGTACTGACTAGATGAACAATGAATGAGATAAGTTGAGAGTTGACAATATCAACTGAGCTATTGGACTGTAAAGGTCAGGACATAAGATTAGATGGTTAGCAATACTGCTGTAGAAACATTGACCTTAGGGTAGCAGTGAAAACCATTTATCAGAACTTTGGACTACAACCGAGGCTGAGGGTTCTCAAAGTTATGAGGGCATAAGGTATAACATTAATGAGTTAAGTTGGGTGGTCTAGATATATGGACAGTAACTTACACCAGTATGCCCTACTAAGGTTGGGTGGTGTAGTTAAAAAAATAGTTACATAGACGGTAACTTACTTGAGGATGACATACCAAGGTTGAGTGGTCTAGTTATAATGAATATTTGCAGACCTGTTTACCCTCAAACTCTTAAAATCGTACAATATCATCACAAAATCATTCAATTCAATACTTTATCTTAATAGTAAAAATATACAGTATACATAATGTATACACCTCAAAATCGTACATTGTACGCCAAAATCATAAGAGTAAAAAAGGTCTGTATTAGCTTACATTAGTATAACAAACCTAGGTTGGGTGGTCTAGTTACATGGACAGTAACTTAAACTATGTACACCAGGTTAGGTGTAGTCCAGTTACATGAATAGTAGCTGATGGTATAATATAGGTTAAGTGAAGTCAGGTTACATGGACAGAAGCAAACGGTATTCTAAACCCAGGTAAGGTGTTTTCAGGTTAAATGGACGGTAGCATTTGGTATGTCATCCACAGGTTAGGTGACGGTCTATCTCAGAAACAGTTGCAGGTGTTATATCCAACCTAGATTAGGTGTTGTCCTGTAACATGGACAGTGGCAGATGCTAAGTCCTAACCTTCTTAGATGTAAAGCAGCAGTCATTCCAAGTGAAGCACTTTTTCGGAATACTGGAGGAACTGGAAACTTTTACAGATTTTAAAAGTTCTGAGAAAACCGATAGTCACAGATCATTTTTAACTTATTCACCATTAGATGAAAAGGAGAGAGAGAGGGGGGGGGGGGGGGGGGCGAGAAGGGATATATAAATCTATAATATATGGAAATGGCAATGCCAAGCAAATTTAATATTTTGGATAATTACGTTTTAAGGGGTCAGATGGCTTTTATTTCCATCATCCCAACACCTTTAAAAAAATGCTATTTGTTCTGATTGCAGAGTAGATTTCTCCCAAGGCCAAATAAAAGAAAATGTATGTGCAATCTCTGTTAATGATTGATAATGTCATTTCATAATAAAATAATTTCTGCTACAGCTACTCAACTACAGATCTTTATTAGTTTATTCCACATCCAGAAATTGAAAACAGCAGAATTAGAATTAAAAGTCTAAGAGCTCTGTAACTTTAATAATGATAGCCTACTTAAAAATGGAAATGAATGTTCATAATTTACACTTTTTATTAAATATTAATAAGGCAGGCTCATACTTACACCAAACTCAGCTACTGTACTCAATTAACTCAATAAGTTAAAGGATCGTGATTGTGACTTTGCTTAATATTATATGAAATATGAATAGACTCCACTCTCGCTAACAATGAGTAACAACGGTAAACGTAGGCGTAGGTTACCCCTTTGAAATTAACTTTATGAACTTTATGTTTCTTGACACCACCAGTACAACTAGATTAGATAAAAAAAAATGACACCAAAATTTTTAGTAGGTACAAGAACAAGAATAACTTACATTATGGTGCTGCGAACTAAACTAGGTCAGTTACTTGTGACTGAAATCATGTTTCTATCGCGTGCTGTTAAATCACGTAATGTTACCACGATGAATCGTCTGCTAGAGCGAAAGCTATCGACACAACAACTGTAATTCAAGTTTAAGCTACCTGCAAACTGCGGGTTGAAAGTAAAAAAGGCTATACCTATATTATATTGATTTTAAAGAGAGAGAGAAACGGATTTTTCCCCACGCAAAATTAAACATAAGAATTGTCAGCTTAGTGATTTTTTTTCTGGAAACTACCACAAATTTACATATAATATTAAATGAGAATGGTTGGTTGTTAAATGATAGCAAATTTGAGAATGTCTATGAGTACGTACCGGTACTGTTTTTGTAACATTTTTCAATAAGTAGTCTCCCTTGGGACTTTCGCAATGTACTTTGGACTTGTGTCCTAATGTCGGTGTATTTCTTTATTCTTGTTCCGCATTTAAATTTTAAAAAAACGTAATACATTCAGGCATTGCGTAATTTAATTTCTTTTCTAAAGAAACTAGATGTTACTAGTGCACCAGTCCAGAATCGTACTAAGAGTGCAGGCTCGTATGATGTATGAAACTGCAGCCTTACTGATTAATGAATTAATGATTAATGCCTTATAAATCAAGTTCAAATGATTTGTTATAAGAGTTGGTTTATACTTCAGTTTATGATTTATGTGTAATTATAATTATAATTAATAAAGTCACTAGCGAATTATACAGCATTCTTAAAATTTAAAAAATCAACAACTTGATCCAAGAGCTCACTTGAGCCATTAGCTCACCATCGATGTACTCGATCAGTACCGTACCTTAACTACTAATAATAATACCGAAATATATAAATTATAATTATGGAGTAACATGTCTTAAGTGGAATCTAATAATAATTGCATTAAGATGATCTTTGCTTTAAAATTGTTTATAAACGGCGTTCGATTCAAATAAATACTAATTTTTAAATGTAACATCTGACGGCATTGAAATGATGTAATGTAGGGCATTTTTAAATCTGGGTGTGGTGGTATAGCCAACTCATTTAGTCTAAGTTACTGTCCATATAAGATAAGTTATTATAACTTTATAATAACTTTGCTTTTGTTTGTGGCTGGCTGGCAAAATTCCGGGACTGCTAATTGACCCACTTCCCGACCACCTGTTGGGCTGAAACTTGGCAAACAGACTCATTACTGATGACAAAAACATTAGGGTTGCCTTGCCAGGTCTACTTCCAAAAAATATCGGGGGGGGGGGAAAAATGTCTTGTCAAAAAAATGAGAATCATAGTTCAATTAATAATTTTTTTTCGTAGAATCGAATTCAATATGACCCACTTCCCGACCACCTGTTGGGCTGAAACTTGGCAAACAGACTCATTACTGATGACAAAAACATTAGGGTTGCCTTGCCAGGTCTACTTCCAAAAAATATCGGGGGGGGGGATAAATGTCTTGTCAAAAAATTGAGTATCATAGTTCAATTAATACTTTTTTTCGGAGAATCGAGTTCAATGGATATTCGATCTTTGTCTCATTCTAACTTATGAGAAAAAAAAAATACAAAACGCGATTATCCTATCCTTAATCTCTTGTACAGCTTTAGATTACGTACCATTTCATTATAAATTAAAGCTTTTGAATTAAAAAAAAATTCCACCATTTTGTGAAAAAAAAAGTGAAAATAATGTGAAAAAAGCGGACCGTCCGCTGAATATAGTGGACACCTGGCAACCTTACAAAACATTCTAATAAATTTTCAGATCCACAAGCCAATTTTCGTTTTTCAAGGGGGAGTTGAAGGAAATTTTTCATGAAATAAAATTCCCGCTAAATAATATTCTTTAAAAACAAATATCGCAAGTGACAAGTGCGCAATATTTTCTTTTGTTTTTTCTGAGAAATGGTCAAAGTCCAATAATCTGCTGTGTAAACGTGGGTGGAACATTGGAGATTATCTTTATTGAAATAATCTGCTGTGTAAACGTGGGTGGAACATTGGAAATTATCTTTATTGAAATAATCTGCTGTGTAAACGTGGGTGGAACATTGGAGATTATCTTTATTGAAATAATCTGCTGTGTAAACGTGGGTGGAACATTGGAGATTATCTTTATTAAAGTTAAGGGATGTATACGAAAAGCTTTGTTCCTAGGGGTTGTTGGTTATAAGATTTGTAAACACGAAGGGGCAATAAATATTTGATTGTGCTCATCAGAATTATTGTATTCCCCTTACTTTAATCAAGTGTTATATTCTCCTTATAAAACTATTGTTGAACTATTGTCTAAAACTAAAGCCATTGTTGAAGCTTTTCAATTTTCACTGATTAAATAAATTATTCGGTTCTGTTCATAGATATTAATAAAAACTCCGTTTGAAGTTGTTGTTTTTAAGTTGACCTCATAGATCCTCAATTCTGACCTAATTTATAACTGTAACTTAGAAACTGTAACTTTCATGTGAGTGGGAAGGGCTTCTGATACTGATTCAAGTGCAATTATCTATGAGACATGGGCATGCCTAAAATAACTTACATATTTCACCTTCATTAGTCATTAGTCGATTATATTTATAGCTGTTCAGCAAGCAAATGGTAAGAGCATGAAAGACTAGGAGGAGGAGGATATGTACTGTAAAAGTAAAACTAACGCTGATTGTTTGTGTACTTGATCAAGTATCAGTTTCATTGAATGTAAAATACTGATGGGTGATTTACTTTTAAATTGAACTTAAACATTTTCATTTAAAGACTCTCTCAACTGGCAAATACATCTTGCGACATTTTAAGATTGAGTCTTTCTCATGCTGTGTTCACCTGGTGAAGGGCTGGAAATGAAAGTTCGACAGAGGCGGTTGACAGTCACTTAAATTATCATGGTCAACCACGTCTGATTTGCGGTTGAGTGAATGGGTAAGCTCAGTTCTACTATTTAGTTTCAAGCCTAGGTAAAGAACTGCATGGCCATCCATATTCTAGAGCCAGTTTCCTCCGTAAGGTACCTCAGTGTTTCCATTCAAAGAGAGGTCCGCTGGGACAAGCACATTAACATTGTGTGCAACCGGATCCTGGGGTTCCTAAAGCGAAATCTAAGGATCAACAACTCCATTGTCCTGACGCTTTCAGATTCGGCATCTTCAGTCTGGGACCCAATCACCCAGAAGAGCATCGACAGGTTGGAGGCAGTCAAGCGACGGGCTACACACGTTGTTCTGAATCGCTACAGGAACACCTCTAGTGTTGGCAGCATGTTGGAAACACTGGACTGGTCACCAATGTTCCCTCTAAGGTTTGTTGGTTTGTGTGCAAACTCATACAGTTGTGTGCAAACTCATACAGTTGTGTGCAAACTCATAGAGTTGTGTGCAAACTCATACAGTTGTGTGCAAAGTTTGACAACATCAATTTTTGTGTGTGCCAGATTGTACAGCCCACAACCACAATCCCATGGAAATTTGCTGGTCACCATTGGAAGTGCTGGTCACCATTGGAAGTGCTGGTCACCATTGCAAGTGCTGGCCACCATTGGAAGTACGGCCAGGTTCCAAAGCAACATTTGAGGCGACAACACTTGCGTCTATTGCCTCCTGACCCCCAGTTCCTAATATCATCACTCAGTAGCCCATGCAACCAGTGAAGCATTCTCTTCAATACCATGCACATAAAAATCACGAGCCCGTCTACAAACATAGGAGACAGAATAATCAATACATTATCATGGACCCTCAAAATATAGATGAAGGAAGAGTTAAGCGACTTTAAACAGGTTTTTGTAAGCATTCGATGTTTAAAAAAGTAAATTCTACTCTTGTCGATAATTTAAAGAATTACAATTTTAACACTAAAAAGTAGACAATAAAAAAATACATTAAAAAACTTTGTAAAAAAGTCTTATCAAGTATTCAAAGGCGAGTTTAAACAAACTAAAAAAGTAGAAAATAATTTCTTTAAAAATTCGAAAGAAAGTCTTTGCAGAAATTTTTAAAAATTAAAAAAATTAAACATTTCAATTTAGTCTACATTCATGTTCAAATCCTTTGGCTTTATACAGTGTTCATCTACACTTCTGCGCTGTCTTTAAAGTTTTTTCTGGGCAGGGGTACTTTTTAGAACATTTTAACTCATCTTTGACTCTGATAGAATCATTTTTTATTTTTATATTAAAAAAAAAATTATTGTATTATTTATTATTATGAATGGGTGGCATTGGCATGCATAGTATTTCCACTTCATATGACTTGTTCACATCACGTAAGCAGTAAAATAACTTGTCAAACAGTCACACACCAGTCAAAAAAATGTTGAGTCAACACTATTCTTCTTAGGTTTAATAAAAGTGTTCAATGTTGGCGTGGAACAGCTCACAATGTACAAAGCAGTAGGAACATCAAACAAACTTTGTCAATGGAAAGACTCAAAAAGCTAGCAATATTCAAAGAAAAACTGGATTCAAATGTTATTTTGATTAAAATACAAGTAGGATTGAAGAGATTTTCAATATTAATTCTGAAGTGATTAAAGTAAAATTTTGTGAATAATAAAAACTTGGCTGTGCTGTGACAGTAAAGCTATAAAAATAATTTTAGCACTACTGAAATTTCCAACATAAACATTTCTTTATTGCAGTTGTTTGTTCAGTTTTAGCACCTAGTTAGTGTTTGGTCTTAGCTTCAAGTTGAGGTTTCATATTTACAAATTAAAGCACAGAAACACATGGTTAAAAACAACAAAAAACTTTTTACTTTAACTGTCATCAACATTCATTTTTCACCGTTGGTCTCAGATTTACAACTTTCACGTTCTATTAAAACTATGATTTTCAAACTAGGCATCCGCACGTTCAAATTTTGTAAGTTCAAGACTTACAGCACTGTTTATTTGTCGAAGCCTTTAATTTAAACTGTTGCTATTGAATTATGAGATAAATAAATATAAATATCATTAAGTTTGTCACACAATGGTAGTGGCTCACTTGGATGGCTTTGGCGGCACACAGATTAAGAAACACTGGCCGCAAGTCTGTTGTATGCTTAAAGGCAAAGAGGATAAACTTGTAGCAGCAACAAAATGTCCACAAATAATTAACATGTAAAAAGCTGCAGCAGTTAGAATTGCCGAATGATCTCGGAATAATTTGGACAACATCAGGTGAAGGAAAGCATGGGTTCAAGCAATGTGTATCTTTTATCGATGTTAGCCTGTTAAACAACATGAACCAGGCAAGCAGTGCTGGATTTGTCACTGGGTTTAACTACTTTCATCAAGCAGTCAATGATACAATTCAAAGTAATAATGCTTGCCTCAACACTGGAGTGGAAGCCTGGTGCAGCAAGCAGACGGTGCTGTTGAAGACTCATCAAATGGAAGGTTGAGAGACAAGTGCTCAGTTACCCCTAGCTATATTTATATAATTAATGTCATAAAGAGTTTGGTGCTGTACTAATCTAACAGTACTTAAAAACTTGAATAGAGTTTATCCATCGATTCCCCTTCAATAGGGTATAAACTAAAACTTTATCCAGCTAAATCTATACCCAGTACATGAACACTCTCAATTGGGAAATTATTAATGCATTAACTGAGAAACAAGTCAAATGATAAGCCAGCAGTGTAAAATGTTAATCTTCATTTACATTTCATGAATCATTTAAAGCTTCTAACGTTATTCTCCAATTTAACAACATGGGACTGTGCCATAATAGACCAGAGTTAAAAATATTATCATTGCACTTGAACCCCCTGGTGCACACCGAACAATGCACACACTTCCAGCTGACCTGAGGTGGTGCACACCAAACATCAGTCAGCTCAGATACTCACACACCCTAGCAGACATTCTTTTATCTAAAATTTTGAACTTACAACATATTCCATCAACAGTATTTAATTTTAGTTACCAATCCACCCTTGCCACATTTTTTACTTAGGAAACAGTCCACCCCTACTTAGAACATTACCTAATATATTTGATTACAATCCATTTTTTGTTAAAATTACCATAGAGATTTCAAAACATAAGATCATAATTAATAAATGTTAACATTTCTTTCAAAAATGTAATGTGATAAATTGCATGCTTTTCTTTTTTAAACATGAAAAAATAATTTGAAAATTAATTTAAAATGCTGAATGGAAAGATGTGATAATACTTGTGGTCCATCGTTGAGACATGGAATTACTGAGAGGGAAAAACAATCTCATCATGCTATATGGTCAAAAACTGATGCTAGGTGTATGTGTATTTAAAAGAAAAAAATATTGTTCTTACTTCTCGTGTTAATGTAGACAAAAGTGTCAGTCCATCTTTAACCATTACATTACATAACATTATGTAGCACTGTTTTGTCCTCTTAAATAAATGTTCAAAATTTGAGCTAAAAAGGTGAAATACCTATGTATTTGGAGCAAGCAAAAAAATATCTTCATTGTACAACAAATTCAACTTGGTCATAAAACCCATGGCAATAAAAATAATTTAAGAATAGACATCTCCGCTGATCGAGGTCAGCACATCCAGCACGCCCCCGACGAAGTTGAGACTTCCTGTGGTCAGGATCTGGATGTGAGTGGCATCTTGCAGGCATGAGGGGATAGCATGAGGAAGGGCTTGTGGGTCCAGCACCCTAACGGTTTCATCCCGACCTTGGCCTGCCCAGTGTAGGGCTTCTATAATACAGGGGAATATTAAAGACATCTGTTCATTGAAACTGTTGGATATGTCACTGGTTGACAATTTGCTAAGAGCAACATTGTTGTCATGGATCATAGTTTTCATGTTATCCACTTCACCCAGCAGGTTGGCGTTGAGGATGAGGCTTGGTTCGATGACATAGTTCAGCATATCTCCAACAGGTAAAAGGTCAGTGTTGGAGAGAGATCCATCAGATCCATCTGCGTCCTCACTACTCTCAACAGACATCTTGTCACTGCTGGCAATGGACACGAGATCACTCCTGTCAGACTCTGCCGTTGATGCAGAGATGACAGAAGATTTCTCACTGCTGTCCCCATCGCTAGAGCTCAGTCGGGGCTTATGGGCACCAGTTTGCAGAATTTTTTCAACTGGCCAGCCAGCCTTCAACAGGCGCAAATTATTCCTCTCTCTCTGGGTGTTGGCCACCAGCTTGTCCCAGGCCAGTTTATTTCTTTCTATTGTCTCAATCTGAACTTTGGGGTCAAGTTTCTTCAGTTGTAGATCTGAAACAGAATTACAACTCATAAACTCTACGTAACAAGTCTTAGTTCACTTGGGGCACACACAAAAAAAACAACTAAATGCAGAGGACTTCAACCTGAAATACAAATTCTGTTTAACACCCTGCAGTCCGACTATAGAGGAATGAAATATATAATTAACATTGGCTTTATTGGTGGATGATTAATTTCTATTAAAGTAATTTTTATTTTTAAAAGTAATTTTATTTTAATAATTTTTTTTCCTTGGTTAAGATCTCATATTACAAAATTATGTTAAATTACTATTTAAAAATAATTATTGGAAACTTATTCTGCATGGAGCAGCCTTTGAAAACAACATGGATTTCTGGAAAATAAAATGTTACTCTTTCTGTCACAGAAAAATTAATTACTAATACAGTGTATTAATATTGACAAATGATTTTAATTTTGCGATTTATGGAGTTATTTGTTTTTCTGAAGAAATATACTCAGATGGAGACTGTTCATAGAATTTATCCCGATTTGCTTATAAACGTGCCGCCTAATACTATCGTAAACGAGTTAACTTGATTTTAATTGCCATTCCCTGGCTTTAAAATTCACAATAAAAAATTATGTCACATTATTTTAATATTAATTATATGTTATTTATTTTCTATGTGCATGGATATGGACTATGACAAATAGTATTTTATATGCTGGTAGCATACCATTAGTGTTAATTTTATTTATAAATCCATCAAATTTTTATTTCACAGCTTCTTTTTAGAGTGAATATTCAGAGATGAAGTAACAGGTTACCTATTCTTATGTCCAGTACAAGCTCTTATTTATCTATTATAACAAAAATGCATACTATTTTTTAAGAAATAATATTTGTTCAGTGTGCATAAATATAATTTAGGCAAGCTTGTCGGCCTGTGTTAGTTGGATATTATAGCAAAGATATATAGGAATATATGGGGAGAAGATAGATCAGATTCAAGAGAAATGCACAGTACTGGAAAATAATATCGAATTCAACAAGAATGTATGGACTCATTATAATTTAGTTACTAATAAGTTTAGGAATTAACGATATTTTAAAATATATAAAAAGATTCTGGTTTTGAATTATTTATATGATTATCATCAAAATGTAATTAGTTATTTTTTTACTTAAGAATTATATTATTCAGAACTATCTATGAGGCCAATTTTTAAACAAATTATTTAGTCCATTATTTTTATTAAATAAAATTTGTACATTGCATTTTTAGAAAATATTGAAAAGATATAGTATGTGCTAAAAAAATTGAAAACTTTTTTTTTCATATTCTTCATAGAATGTTGTTCAGACTATGGTTTGTATCAGAAGATAAAGAATTTTCTTAAAATAAATTCAAAATCTTTTATAACAAGGAGTTTTTTCCCCTGCATACTGTGTGAAATTGTCAAAACACACTTGTAATGAAACAAAATATACACAATATTGTTTTATGTATTTTTTATAACCAAGTAAATAAAATATACAAAAATATATAATTATATCCCATTCAAATGGAACAAGTTAATATATATAACTGAGATATTTAATCACAACAAAAAAAAAAAAATCACCTTAAGATTTTTAACAAAATTGAAGACAAAAAAATGTCAGACTGCACAGAGTTAAAGCAGACCCGGAATTATAATAGGAGTCTAATGGACAAACTAAGGTTAAGCATTACAAAAGTGATGAAATTAATTCCAGATTTACTCAAGGTAATAGTAAAACTTGTTAAAGAGTAAAAGAATGACCAGGCTCACAGGCCTAATTGATAGATGTAAGAGAAGAATTTACCTGGCCTGCATTGAGACTCAACAGTGGACACAATAAAGGGACAGAAAACAGCAGCATCAAAGTCACAATTCTGAAAAGGGAACAGAAACATTTCTTAGAACTAGGTTAAAATCCAACAACTTGTCTATTACTCTATTAGCAAGTCTTTATAATTAAACCTGATATAGGAAGGATTGTTTAAGTTTGGACTTAGCACTGACCCTCAAAGGATACACCAGAAGCTCAGGATCTCTTTCAGGTGCTGTGAAAAAAATCAAGACTCTGACAACTTTTCCACCAAGACTTGCCCTCTCCTGGTCAGCAGTTTCAGAGAACCAAGAGGAACACAGCTGATGATATACAAAAATACAAAGAGCTGTTAATAATGAAAGCAAATTTTGAACTCAAAGTTAAAAGTTACCGGTAATAATTGTTTTTAAACATACTACAAGGCATATCAATGAAAAGAATAAAAATAGAATAAACTTAAATAGAAAATACTGTTTGGCTCAGCATTTCCCAAACTTTTAAGTTCGGTGAACAAGTTTAGAAACCGCAACAGGGACTGGTGCCAGATTTATGAATTAAAATTCCCTATTTATTTGACCATTTTAATTATAAAAATAAATTTTGTGCTGGTCTGCATAGTAAGGCTCACGGACTGGTGCCAGTCAATGGACCCCCCATTTGTGGAACATCAAATTCATAATCGCTTATTGAAAAAACGATATTTCCAAATTTAGAAGTTTTTATATTTATTACTATATAATCACAAAGTTATTAAAAAAAAGAGATTGACAGCAAATGGAACAAAATTAAGACTTAATACCAGGACAGAAGTATCAGTCTGTATTCAAGAGTGTTAAAGGTCGGCTGACCGTAGGAAAAAGATGAAGGATATTGAAGGACATTTCATTTAGAACTGAACATTTTAAAATCATTTATGAAATGTTATTTCTAGCTGAAAATGTCATACATCTAATAAGACTTAAACTTTTGAACTTTTGATTACCAGTAATTGAAAGAGAGGGGGGGAATGTTGCATGAATAAAATTAATCTTGAAAAAAAAAATCCATTTGAATAAATCCTAGAATACCTCCATGCTTTCCTTTGTGTGGGCCCCATCTATGTAGTAAGTGATTGCTTCTCTCTTTATAACCTGAGCCCTTCCTGGCCATTTACAAGTGGACAGTCCTTTGATTGTAGCATCATCTAGTTCAGTACAGGTAACCCTTGGGATATCTGACACAGTAGTCTCACTGGTCACACTCGACCGTTCTTCTGTAATAAAATGACCACAAAAAAAAAAAAAAAAGGGTTAGGAAATATGAGCAACCAACATTCATCATCTTCTGAAACAATGTAGCATCATCTAGTTCAGTACAGGTAACCCTTGGGATATCTGACACAGTAGTCTCACTGGTCACACTCGACCGTTCTTCTGTAATAAAATGACCACAAAAAAAAAAGGGTTAGGAAATATGAGCAACCAACATTCATCATCTTCTGAAACAAATTTGTAAAAATGATCAAAAGACAATAGCGCCCCCACACAAAAGTTGTGCCTTAGAAAACTTTAGTCAGTGTAAGATAATAACCGTGCTGCTTTCCACTCACTTTTCTGCTGATATTCTTCCCAAATGTGGAACAACTCGATGGCTAAAGCAGCATTATGCCTCTGTTTATCTCCAGCGATACTCAGACTGAACTTGTATTCTTTCAAAACCTCCTCTGACAAAGGATTCACGACATACAGGGGGCACTGCCGGATGGAAAATTGGTTTTTCTTCTTTTATTTACTGAGGCAGTTTGCACGTTTCATGATACATAGGAATCCACTAACATGTCACAATGTCTCCTAAAGTCAATGGTGAATGTATTTACTTAATGTCAGGTGATCACATCACACAAAACATGGACCAGCTGGAAACAAGCTTATTGTTAGATGTAGTTTGAAAGTTACCTGCATATCCTGAGCCCGTTTCAGAATCACCTGCATGGCTGAGTCACTCTGAGGGGCACTTAGGGCTGGACGATGCATCTGTAGAAATCAAGAGGGGGGGGGGGGGTGTAACTCAAACATTCACATTCTTTGGCATGCCTTCTTACTTCCCTTGATTTTAGCTAATAAATTGTATTTCTATAAAAGTGTATTTAAAGTTTGTACAAGGGGGAATTAAAAGTAACGACTTGTTAAAATGACTCACTTTAAAAATCCCAGACTTCTGAAAGGCAATTGATTCAATTGTATCGCCCAGATCATCAGTATGCTCCAGACCCAGAGAAGTGATGGCGCAAGCCACAGGATTGCGAATAAAGTTGGTACTGTCAGTGAGACCACCTATTCCAACCTCCATGATGGCCACATCCACACCCTCATTGAGAAAGATATGAAGGGACAAGACCACGTTGAAAGCAAAGTAAGCAGGCATTGCTCTCCCTTCCTCTATGGGGGCATCCTCCTGATGGGGCAGAAATTCAAGTTATATTTCCACTACTTCCCTAAAAAGCCTGATCTTTAATAATATTATCATTCCCGCTTTTTCCAAGTAGCACAACAACAACAACAACAACAACAACACAAAAAAAAAAAAAAAAAAAAAAAAAAAAAAACAAAAAAACAAAAAAAAAAAAAAAAAAAAAAAAAAAAAAAAATGAAGTTAAGTAGCTTGTCTAATTTCTACAGCTGTTTATTCACCTCCTCAGTTTCCTTAAGCTTATTGTACACCTTCCAGAAGTAATGGCAATACTTGGCTTTACTAAGAGGCCGGCCATTGATGCGGATTCTCTCCCGCACCTCCACTAAATGGGGCGAGGTAAAGAGGCCGGTCCGGTGGCCATGTTGACGCAGGATGCTCTCAGTGAAGGCGCTTGTGGAACCTTTGCCTTTGGTCCCTGTGATGTGGATCATGCAAAGCTTGTCCACCTCATCATCCTGGACAAGGAAATAATGACAAGATTTGAAGAAAAAAAAGTCAGCATTTATATGTTGGCTACCGCTAAATGAAACCAATCTCTGAATGTAACACTCTAGAACTGCCTGGTTTTTTACTAGGTATTTTGCTCATTTTACATAAATCAATAGTGATAGAACATTCAATCTTAATAAATATTTTAGCATTGTTCAAAACAAAAACTTCTATGAGATGATTTAAATGATTCAATATGTTAGCTATTACAAATCAAGGTATCTAATTATTTTTAAACAACATAGGAAATGCCCTTCCTCTATCTTTCACACTTATATTCTGGAAATTATTTACACGATGATGGTGCTTTCAAGATCTTTACCAATGAAGTACACACCCCCACCCCAAAGCACACACAGCAGCACTTTTTAAGGTGATCTATCATCCCCCAATAAAATCTATCCTATATTTATAGGGACTGTAGCAAGCTCTTGATGATGGATGAAATCCCCTCTACGGGGGGGGGGGGGGGATGTTTGTCTACATTCAAGATTAAATTAGGCCTGTAATTATATATATATATATATATATATATATATATATATATGTGGCTATTCGTACCCGGGTACCAGAAGTGATAGGTTGGGATTAAAAAACTATTTATAATTTTATTGTTGGGTTTGTAAGACAAAATGAGGTATCAAATGAAAGATAATTGAATGGACTATATGTTTGTAAACTTAATTCTTCAGTTTAACTAAAATAAACTACCACAAATGACATCCGAATACCAATGAGTCAAAATGGACCCAGACACGCAGCGCCGCCATTCGCACCCTGGTACAATTAGACCTAGATATTAGAATAGCCGACAGACAACTGTACCTAGATATTAGAATAGCAGACAGTAGCAGACAGACAGCTGTCCCTAGATATTAGAGTAGCCGACGGACAGCTGTCCCTAGATTTAGAATAGCCGACAGACACCTGTACCTAGATATTAGAATAGCCGACAGACAGCTGTACCTAGATATTAGAATAGCCACGGACAGCTGTCCCTAGATTTAGAATAGCCGACAGACAGCTGTACCTAGATATTAGAATAGCCGACAGACAGCTGTCCCTAGATTTAGAATAGCCGACGGACAGCTGTCCCTAGATTTAGAATAGCCGACGGACAGCTGTCCCTAGATTTAGAATACCGACAGACACCTGTGCTTAGATCAGTGGTTCTCAACCTTTTTAGTGCTGCGACCTTTTAACAGTTTCTCGTGTCGTGGCGACCACCAGCCACACAATTATTTTCGTTGTTACTTCATAGCTGTATGGATATGTATTTTCAGATGGTCTTAGGCGACCCCTGCAAAAGGGTCCCGCGACACCCAAAGGGGTCGCAACCCACAGGTTGAGAACAGCTGACCTAGATGTTAGAATAGCCGACAGACAGCTGTACCTAGATATTAGAATAGCCGACAGACAACTGTCCCTAGATTTAGAATAGCCGACAAACAGCTGTACCTAGATTAAGAATAGTCGACATACAGCTGTACTTAGATTTTAGAATAGCTGATAGACAGCTGTCCCTAGATTTAGAATAGCCGACAGACACATGTACCTAGATGTTAGAATATCCGACAGACAGCTGTACCTAGATATTAAAATAGCCGACAGACAGCTTTCCCTAGATATTAGAATAGAATAGCCGACGGACAGCTGTCCCTAGATATTAGAATAGCCGACGGACAGCTGTCCCTAGATTTAGAATAGCCGACAGACAGCTGTACCTAGATATTAGAATAGAATAGCCGACAGACACCTGTCCCTAGATTTAGAATAGCCGACAAACAGCTGTACCTAGATTAAGAATAGTCGACATACAGCTGTACTTAGACTTTAGAATAGCTGATAGACAGCTGTACCTAGATTTAGAATAGCCGATAGACACATGTACCTAGATGTTAGAATAGCCGACAGACAGCTGTACCTAGATATTAGAATAGAATAGCCGACGGACAGCTGTACCTAGATTTAGAATAGGCTGAATAGCCGACAGACAGCTGTCCCTCGATAGAATAGCCGACGGACAGCTGTACTGAAAAGAGCCGGTCGTGGACGGTTCGGGCTATCGATCCCAGAAACAGATGAACTTTTCTTCCTCGCTGGTTCGCTCAGTCTTGTCAAGCCAACATGAGACCCGGTCGATAGCGCGAGAATTTCGCGCGTGCTCTCTACAACACAACCCCCCCCCCTCCCTCCATACTGTCTACGGCTGAAATATAACTGGACTTAAAATACCGCCTGGCGTAGGGAATGGGAGCGAAATTTTTTTGTGTTAACCAAAGATCCAATGATTCCAACAGCAATGCGTAAGCAATGAACCACCGGGTCGATAGCTGGTTAGCGTGTTCGCACAAACTAAGAGTGTTAAACAAGCCAGGTTTTTTTGTTAGCTGCCACCACATGCCATCTAATATTGATGCTGGATAAACAAAGCGAGTACGCACAGACAGCATTGTTGTTGTAACATGTTCCCCAAAAATACGGCCTGATAGCAGCATCGCAGTACGACTCGTCAACTGGGATGTAGGTCACAATATAAACAAAATTTAGGGCCGAGGGAGGTCACGGACGCCAGACTTAAAAACGAGATGGGGTTGAGAACAATAATGGTATGGTTGGCCTAGCACCTGTCCCAGCGGCAGTCTTTGTCTAGTGGGGAATTGACAACATTTACGACAACGGCTTTAAATAGGAAATTGTCTTTTCTATTTTTTATTGTCTATTTTTTCAAGGATGCCGTTAAAAATAAAGTGAAACCATCATACCGCAGGCTGCTGGCGTTAATGCTAAAGTATGTTTGTTGATACTGATATTGATATTATATGATGGCACTGTTTAGAAATCATGTATTTTTTAAAAACCTTCTTGGATGAGAGTAATTACTCGTCTATAGCCTTGGTAACATTTGACACCTTTCCCTAAACATGTGAGTGAGGTGTAACTAACGCGTCCTTACAGTTGGGCCGTGTAAATCATTGCATCCGATCTACACAGGCCGAGTAAACTACTGAGCTGAACACATAGGCCCACAGTAAAAATGGGGCAGGGAAACTGATAACACTTTCTCAACACTAATTTAATTACCTTGGAATAACAGTCGGCTTAATATTTGCTCCACATAACTCTTTTAAGGGTCATTACCATACATAGCACATAATCTAATATAGGCCCTATAACCTTCTCTAGTAAAGCAAGCAGTACCGGTAGGCCTACTCCATGTATTTCTCTAGTAAAGTAAGCAGTACTCTCCATTTTTCTCTAGTAAAGTAAGCAGTACTCTCCATTTTTCTCTAGTAAAGTAAGCAGTACTCCTCATATTTCTCTAGTAAAGCAGTACTCCCCATATTTCCTTGAATAAATCAGTCCCGGGATTTCTTTCAAAAATGAACATTGATAGACTGAACATTTATTTCTATCTCTAAAACTCTAGACAAAATAATGGACAGTTTCACATAATCTTTGGACATGAATATCTTCTCAAAAATATAAATCTATGTATAATACCAGGCTGAAAATTCTGGGCATGTCTACTTTACATGTAAATGTCTACTAATAGCCCAAAGTTGTAATTTTTTTCTATAACAGAATTTGAGAAATAGCATTAGTGGGCATTATATAGCTTGAATACTAACACATTTCTGGGCATATCTACTTTACATGTAAATATCTACTCATGCCCATTTTTTTTTTTACTTTGTGGTTAATAGACTGAGAAATAATATTACTTGCTATGTTGGACAAATCTGGTAATAGAGACCATATATATGCTATGGCCATCGCTGCACACTATAGCACCACCAGCATTGACTAGTAGGTTTGGCTATGTTCAGAGGTCCATCAGAGTACCCATGAAGCCACTTGCTGCCTGGGGCTCCACATCATAATAAAAGAGAAAGGTTAAGTTTGCCCCCTGGTGGCTCTGTGAGAGTAGACAATGACATAAGCAAACCAACTTCAGTCAAACAAGTTTCCTCCTGATACTTACCAGGGCTCAAGGAAACGGAGGGGTAAACATCATGGACAGAGGGAAAAAACATCATAGATACAAGTTAAAAACATTCCGAGTCATAGCACATTTTCAGGGGATTTAAAAAAAAAAAAAAAATGATCTTCAAAGGCGCAACTGTTTAAAATATAAACAAAAAGTAAAAGAATACAAAGACTTTATGGCTTTTAATTCACACAAAGAAACGGAGGGGTAAACAACATGGACAGAGGGAAAAAACATCATAGATACAAGTTAAAAACATTCCGAGTCATAGCACATTTTCAGGGGATTTAAAAAAAAAAAAAAAATGATCTTCAAAGGCGCAACTGTTGAAAATGTAAACAAACAGTGAGAGTATACAAAGGCTTTATGGCTTTTAATTCACTATGACCCTAGAACTGTACCGGTTACTTAGTATACTAAAAGGATTGATGACCCTAAACCCATTTTAATAGACTCTAAAATAACACTAATTTTTACAACTGATGGCCCTATCTATGACAGACCCCCTTTCATGTTCATCTGATGACTCATGTCACACTCCCATTATATTTTACAATGAGCGACCCCAGCAACAACCCCGTACATGTACATATGACCTTATACATATACATATACTTATACATATGTCCATATGACACCCTAATATGTTCCACTGGTGACACTATAACAGATTCCCTTATATTATATGTTCCGCTGATAACCCCCTTACATGTTCCTCTGATTAACCCCCTATAAAATGTATAGAATTAATCAATGAATAATCCAGCCTCAAAAAGTTTAAGAATAGATTCCAAAATAGATCAAATTAAAGCCATGACAAATTTATACAATGTTTTGTAATTTAATTCATTTAAATTTAGCATGATGGATCTTTTCTATAAAAATTAACTGATGGGCAAACATTGCTAAATTACTTGCTGAAGTTATCATACCATGAGATATTACTAGCTGAAGTTATCACACAATAAGATATTACAATGAAGCAATTCTCTAATTATTTCACAATAATTTTTTTCCATTTATTTTTAAAGCCTTTTCAGACATACAGTTTGTGATATCATTGACAATTGAGCTTTAAGGTATGCTGTGTTCTACTTGATATTTGCAAAAAAATAATTCAATAATTCTTTTGAAAGTTACATTACTCATTTTTTTTACTTCTCAAAAATTGATTCTAATATTCTCATCACAAAATATAAATGTAAATTGTTATGAACTGTGTATAATCAATGTGAAGTCAAAAGCATCAATATGATTCTTTAAATAAAAATTAATTTAGTAGTAAAATAACTTGAAAGGGTTGCATCAATTCATCAACAGATAATTAGTAACCTGTCATTTTATAAATTTTTTAAACCATTTGGGCTGTTGGGGGGTGGGGGGGGGGGGGGGGGGCATCTTCATATGGCACCAAAAATGAAGATTTATGTATTTTAATATATGCCTTTGGGGAAGAAGGCGCCTAAATTCAGTCTTTGCCCCAAGTACAAGCAAGGTTTGTTTGCCATGGTCCTTTGACAGTATTGTAGGATTAATTGGTCATTTTTTTTGTTTATCAATTCAATATCTTGAGACACAGTAGCTGGAGCATGAAAAGTATGGGAGACAAAGGATTAAAACAAGAAACAAAATATTCACAGCTTCCTGTGTATTTTTTTTATATTGCATTTGATTTTCTAAACATATTTACACCCCTGGTTGAAGCAGTGATTTTACAGCAATATGAATATGACACTTTTCCAAACATAAAAATTATAAGTAAAATTCATAAAATGTTATGTTTTTATCTTCTGTAAAATTTGACATAATTATGTCTTCATATGGAAAATAATCTGATGCTGATCAGACATGATGATACATTGAAGGTCATTTGCCATTTTGCTTAGGCTTTTGAATTGGTGCAACCCTAACAGTAAATTAAATAACATAAAAAAATGCCTGAATTAGTGAGGAATTCAAATGAGCAAAATGTACATAGTTAAAGTAAAGGTTATACAAAAATGTGTTTCCACAGCTTACCGTGAGGCCCGATCTGTGGATGAATTTATTGACCATTGGAATGATGAGGTCCATCTTGCCCTCATATTTAAGTCGGCTGCACTGTTCATGCCAGCCTCGCAAGGAGAGAAGTTTGGAGTTCAAAGTGTTCACAGCTTCCTGTGTCAGATGATGTTAAGGGATAATTGACAATGACAAACATTGGAGAAATTTGTGTTTTTTTTTTTAATTTGTGTTATGAGACAACCTTAGTATCATTAACGTCCTTTGCCAAGACAAAATTTTCATGGAGCTAAAAAATAAAGCTCATAACACTTTTTACTCATTGCATTGAATCTTTATGGTCAAAATGATAGCCTATATATACATTATCATCAGTTTAAGATACTATTCTACATTGTCACTTGGTAATGCCTAGTTTTAGCCCTCTTTATAATTACTTTCATGGCTAACTAAGTAAATTTTAATGTTAAAATTTAGAAAGAATCAGAGAAGGCTTACACAGACATAGGCTATTTAACTATTTGTTATTATAATTAGATTTGAGTCTAAAAATAAGATAAGATTCTTTTATTGATACAAACAATTGGAAATGTTTTTTTGATTGCATTGTACATTTTCAGCACATTAATAAAAAAATTTGAACTCAAGACATCTACATTAAATTATTTCACTAGTGAAAAAAACAGCCATTCAGTAAATTCTCTTAGCCATTTCAGGGAATTATTGGTTCTCATAAAGATTTGTGACTGGTAAATTTGTACAGATTGGGGAACAAAAGAATTTTTATATCTTTCAGTCCTCGCACTAAGAGAAAGAATTAATCCCAAACGGGCCGTTTCTGAGTATCTGTGATGAAGAGGGTGGGATGTATCATCCAAAATTTGTTTAGTTATACAATAACATCTTCCTTCAAATAGCTCTTCAAGTGAAGGATGTTTGGTTTGTGTTATTTTTCTAGCTTTCTTGATTAGTCTGTTTATTCCGTGTTTAATATCAGACGATGAATTCCCACACAATCAGATATTGAAATTAACTAGGCTTCCAATTGTTGCACTTAAGAATAAGTTAACGACTTGTTTTTTTACGACGAAATCGTACAGTTTTTTTAGTTGAACAATCTTTGGTTCAATTTCTTATACAGCATTTGGCCGTGCTCATGCCTTGTTAGTGTTAGCTTATTATTAATGGTGACACCTAAGAACTTATATGCCTCTACTTTCTCTGCACTTTGATTTTTTATTTTGAGATCTGTAATCTGGTGTTTTTCCCCCTCCTGAAATCAACAACCATTTCCTTTGTTTTTGAAAAATTCAGCTGGAGAAAATTTTCATCGCACCAATTGATAAAGCTTGTAACTAAGTTGTGGTATAAGCCTTCTCCCTCAAATATCAAGCCAATGATGGTGGTATCATCAGCAAATTTTAAGATTGAAACAGTGTCACTTTGAGCTCTGAATATCATTGGTATATATTGTATACAGTACAGGGGAGAGAACGCAGCCTTGTGACGCCCTGGTGCTTATTTCTCTGCATAGAGATAATTGTTCATTTACCTTCACATATTCTGGGCAATTTGTTAAAAAGATCATTTAAATTTACACCTAACCAGTAAAGATACTTTGACATAAGGTGTGGTTGGATAGTATTAAATGCTGATGAGAAGGGCTGTCTAGGCGATGGTAAATAAAGGTAAGGCCAGCTTAATTGCATCTTATAGGAGTTATTTAGGCTACTACTAATGGGTTTTTTGTTTATTTGCCTTTATTATAAATTAATGGTCATAATGAATAGGGTTTATTTTTATTTTAAATAATTTAATTATTCATATTCTTACAAATTAAAATTCTATAGTATAGAAAGTCTAGATTACAAGATAGTAGTAATTAATTAATAGTTAACAGTAGGCTTAGGACACGGTACAAAGCAACTTATTAAACTCCTGGTAGGCCAAACAAAGCTGTTTGAATTATATAGTATATAAATTATGTATACTAACAAACACTTGTTAATAACAGTAATATTAATCATATAGTATATAGACTATACTATATTATATTAGTATAAGCCTAGTCCTGGAAGTAGTAGTAGAATGTAATATTTTCAAAGTTAAATATTAGGCTACAGTCTATGACTATAACTATAGACTATTCTAGGGCGCCTAGGGTCAATGCCACCCTGAGACAACCCCCCCCCCCTATGAAAGCCTCTGCAGTTGACCGAAAATGCCTCCCTTCATCAAAATTAATTATAAATTATATTACACAGAAATATAGAAGGGCCGCCGGGGACGGACACTCCTCCCACCTCTTTCCCCCGCAGCAGGCAAGCAGTGGCTAGGCATAGCCTTGTTGATAGTAGTTGGTAGGCTTAACTTTAACATTGATATGTCATCAATAATAAATAATTAATAATCATGATTCATGTCTATCACTATCATCATGTATTTATTATGATAGGCATTTTATGGAGTAACCTTTTCTTTAATTAGCCTAATTTAAATTATGATCGTTGAAAAGCAAGTTAGGGCTATACTTTGTATACTTATATACTATCTATGTATAATTATATAATACTAATACCTAATAATAAATCAAGTTTATTTCATTTCATATTAATCTTTATTCGTATACAAAGAATGATTGTTATTTTTAATCATGTTCAATCAAATGAATCGCATTTTTACTTAGTTAATTCGTTTTCTACTAACTATGAATAAAAACTGAACTACAATGTTACTCACAATATAACTTCTTTCGATATCTAAGTCCATTATTTTGAAATATTCCGGCAACATTCGGCGACAACGGGGAGAGAATGAAGTTGAAGCGCTGTTGTAAAATAAATGCGGCCAGGGAGAACTTGTTATAGCCGGTTTTCCAGCTGCAGGTTCGCGTTCATGGCGAGCACGTGGAACTTGCCGGCTTGCCACGTCCAACGCAATTCTTTTTATGCATCGTGCAGGCCACACAATCTTAATTTGTCTTGAATATCACAGCGCATTGTTATTAAATGTTATTTAATATTGTATTATGATTATATTTTTTATATGTAAATTTAATGTGATCTACTCGATTGGTTTCATCTGTAAAATTCATATCTGCCGATCTGTTCGCGTATCTACAAAATCTTACTATTACTCATTATGTCGCCGTTTGACTTGTCACGGTGGGAAACTTAATGTCTTTTTCTTTGTTTAATAAAACCAATTCTGTCAATCAGTACTGAAATTAAATGAATAAACAGGCACGGGGGCCTGAAGCAATAGGTCAATAAGTGTGTGGGTGGGGGGATGTGACACCCCTGAAATTACTTAATTCGTACCGGTAGCAAGGACAACTGAAAAATATATAAATCAATACAAATCAAAATGTCCTTAATATTTAATTAATTGGAATGTATGCAAGAGTTAAACAGTATTATTTAAGGCTATGTAATTTTTGAGTCCTCTAGTAAATAAGTAGGCCTACTTATTTTCCAACTAATGAAGTCTCCCGCCCGTGACTGCGGGACAGTCTTACTAGCAACGGGGGGCCCTGGAAAAAGTTATTTACTGGGCCCCCTATGCAAGTAATGTTAAGATTATATGACTTAACGCATAAATACATAGTTTATGGAATCAAGTATTTTGGGCCTCTGGACACTGCCCAGGTGTGACTGCAGATATGTCGCGTGAATTTTGGAGGCCTCCTGACACTTCAACTTCAAAGCTATTTAAAATAATTTCTAGAAATATTTTTTTTTTACTAATCACACGTTTGTGCACCTTAAATATCCGTGTCCCCCCCCCCCCCCCCACCC